TGAGACCCCATGTCTACGAAGAATGAAAAAACTGAGCATGGTGGCATGTGTCTGTGGTCCCAGCTATTTGTGAGACTGAGGCAGGAGGATCGTTGGAGCCCAGGACTTTGAGGCTGCAGTGAGCCATGAGGGTGCCACTGCACTCCCGCCTGGGTGAGATCCCATCTCTGGAGAAAAAAAGAGAAATGAATCGGAAAAGTAGAGTGCTCTTTGATGTAATAAGGGCAGCTACTGCAACTTATTTTAGCTGTACCTGCACACCTGAGTGTGCACACTCTATCAGAGTATAAAACGTGTTTCTTACTGCAGGTTGTGAGGAAAAAACTGGAAAGCTTTCCTCCGTGCCAGGACCCTCTTTACTCCGTAGTTCTCCTCTCTAGGCAGGCTGGCCTACCTTTCTCAGAACAAAAACATGAATGGGGGCTGACATCTGTGCAGCGACGTTTACACAGATGATCTCATTTACCCTGTGAGGGGTGACGGGTGTCTGGAGGGCTGTGTGATCTTGGGTAAATGGCTCAACCTCTCTGGGCTTCAGTTCCTTCCTAGGTGAAGCTGGCTGTGTTGAGGGTGCAGACTTTGTGTACACTGGGTGTGAGATAAAAGCAATCATCAGCGCCACTGAACAAACAGAGGAACCAAGTGACTGACGAGCCCTTCGGCGACAGTGAGGGTGCCAGGAGGGTTCAATTCAAGCCGCGATGCACAGAAGCTTCCAGATACACCCTGCAGCCCCCAGCACCACCACGCCACAACAGCTAACACGCACTCAGCACTCACTACACACCATGTACAACAGCTAACACACACTCAGCACTCACTACACACCACACACAACAGCAACAACACACTCAACCACGCTTCACCACACACAACAGCTAACACACCTCAGCACTCACTCCACACACCGCAATGGCCTGCTCTGCTCAGCAGCACCACACACACCACTGCCACCACAGCTAACACACGCCAGCCTCTTTTTACACACCACTTGCACAACAGCTAACACGCACTCAACCTCACCACGCCACAACAGGCTAACACACACACTCCAACCACGCACACACCACACATGCACCCAAGCAGCTAACACCGCCTCAGCACTCACTACACACCACACAACAGCTAACACCCACATTCTTTTGCCACACACCATGCACAACCTTCTCCCATGCTGCGCACTCAGCACTCACTACACCACAGCTGTCTACCACCACAAGCTCAGCACTCACTGCACCACAGCAAACACACACTCAACGCAACACTCACCACACACCACACAACAGCTAGCACACACTCCCAGCCTCCTACACACACTACAGCTAACACACACTCCAGCACTCCACCACAGCACTGTTCCTACAAGTCCCTTTTAATGTGTTCATTTCCTCATTTAATCTTCACAAAGAGTCCTAAGAGACTGCGGACTGGTCTTCATTCTGAGATGAAGACGCATCCTGAGTTAACTCCCTGCTCGGGTCACTTAGCTCTGAGTGGTGAAACTATAAAGGTGTAGCCCTGGAAACGGTTCAATGGCCAGACCTGCCCTGTCGCCTCCCTGGCCCCATCCTCGATGGTCTCTCCCTTCTTGCACTTGCCCCGAAACCACGGCCGGCCCCAAAGCCTCGCACCACATGCCCAGAGGCTTCGCACAGGCTGCAGGACTCCCAGCACCAGGGTATGGAAACTGGAGCGCCCCATAGTCCCCTGGGTTCTGAAAAGGAAGGCGAGAGAGGGCAGTCAGTTAACACACACTCAGCACTCACTACACACCATGCACAACAGCTAACACACACTCAGCACTCACCACGCACTGTTCTAAGTCCTTTGTGTTCATTTCCTCATTTAATCTTCACAAGAGTCCTAAGGGCTGCGGACTGGTCTTCATTCTGAGATGAAGACACTGAGGCTCACAGGTTAACTCCCTGCTCCGGGTCACTTAGCTCTAAGTGGTGAAACCAAGGGTGTGGCCCTGGGAAAGCCGGTTCCACGGCCAGGCCAGACCTGCCCTGTCCTTACCTCCTGGCCCCATCCTCGATGGTCTCTCCTTCTTGCACTTTGCCCCCGAAACCATTCCACCGGCCGGCCCCAAAGCCTCGCTTTTTCATGCCCAGGAGAACTCGCTGAGGCTGCAGGACCAGCACCAGGGTATAGAGCCTGGAGGCGCCCATGGTCCCTGGGTTCTGAAAGGAAGGCGAGAGGGCAGTCAGTTACGACACGCGTGGAGGAAGCACGTGCCACGGGCCAGGAGGACTGGGATGTGCTCTGGGAGGCAGGGTTGGGGGGGTGGTACGCTGTAATTCCCCAGCCCTGTTTCCTGTGCTGTTGCTACTCCTGGCATGGACACGCTGGATGCCCGACTCACACCCAGTGGTCCTCCTCCCCAGCTGCGGCCCCCAGCACAGCCTGTTGCACTGGCACCTGCCATGGTGACTGATCAAATGTGTCTGCATGGCTGGAGCCCGGGGTCCCTTGTGGCAGGTGGAAACCTGCCATTGAACCAATGTGGTAGAAACAGAACCCAGTGGTCAGCAGGGCTGATCAAGCAGAACAGAGGCTGGCGCTACCTTCTTTTTCCACTACTCAGCCCTCAGGTGCAGAGGACATGACTTTTCCAGACTGCACTCTTGCTCCTGCGTCTACCCTCAGGAACACCCTCCCATAGGCACACAGTGGGGAACAACGGTCCCCGTGCCTGACTAGCACAATAACCACCACAGTTTATCCTGTGGTTCTCAGGTCAGGCTTCAACTCTGGCCTTTTGATTAATAGGAGCTTCTTTCAGTCTAGTGGGACCTGGCCTCTCTGTAGCAGGCTTCCAGATCCCCAGGAAATGTGTGGTTGTAGACACAGGCCCACCCAACAGGGCCTGGCTAGTCCTCCCTCCTGTGACAGGAGTTTATACCCCACTCACTCTGCTCCTACTGTGGCTACTGTAGGACCTGGCACCCAGGGGGGCCACTGGAAGTCGCAAGAGCCCTTCCTGCTCCCATAGGTGTACAGGTTCAGGTTCAGAGGACTCTCAGGGTGATGCCTCAGCCAGGTCCCTGATGGAAAAAGGACCCTGGAGAAATGCTGGAGGGCCAGGACCAACTTTCCTTTATTTATTTTGAGACAAGATCCTGCTCTGTTGCCCAGGCTGGAGGAGAGTGGCATGATCTCGGTTCGCTGTAATCTCAGCCTCCCTGGCTGAAGCCATCCTCCTGTCTCAGCATCCCACATAGCTGGGACCACAGGCATGAGCCACCACACCCAGCTAATTGATGTATTTTTAGTAGAGACGGGGTTTTGTCATGTTGCCCAGGCTGGTCATGAACTCCTGAGCTCAAGCAATCCACCCACCTCAGCCTCCCAAAGTGCTGAGATTACGGGCGTGAGCCACTGCGCCCAGCCAGGACCAACTTTTCTGGGGTCCACACCTGGCTGAGACACAGGATTCAGGACCAGTGATCCTCCTTGGAAGCTGTGGTGTCTGAGAAAAGGGACTCGATGGTAAGCAAAGAGGGCAGGGAAGTGCTGGGTAGAGGAGGGCGTGGTCTCTGGCTAGGGCTCCACCCCCAGGCCTGTGCCCAGGGACCTAGGTGAGGACAGGCATTTCTGTTTTCCTGCCCAAATGTTGCATTTCCCAAGCCCGCCACGTCCCGGTCCTGTGCCTATAAAACCCCCCAGACCCTAGTGGGCAGATACACAAGCTGCTGGATGTCAAGAGGATGTGGAAAGCACAACAACAGGCACCAGCAGGGAATTAACTGGAGGACGCATGCGTTTGGCAGGGGCCGTCAGAGGACAGCCCAGGCTGCTCAGCAGCCCGACTCCAGGGGAAAATCAAATCACCTTCCCACTCCAGCTCCCTTCTGGCTCCCTCATCTGCTGAGGGCTAATTCCACTTATAAAACCTTGCACTCACTCTCCAAGCCGCCGTGTGATCTGACTGCTTCGGTACATCAAGGTAAGAAACCCGGGGACACAGAAAGCCCTCTATCCCTGCGATAAGGCAGTGAGTCTAACAGCTAACACAAGCCACCTGCAAGGCTGAACTGAAAGAGTACCCTCTAACGCACGCCCACGGGGGCTTCAGGAGCCGCAAACATTCACCCCCAGACACTGCCGTGGGTGGGAGCCCCACAGCCTGCCCGTCTCTATGCTCCCCTAGAGGCTTGAGCAGCGGGGCTCTGAAGAAGTGAGCCACACCCCCATCGCAGGCCCTTCGAGGAGGACAAGGGAACCTTTCCCGTGTCACTGAGACTGGGTCCTGGTGGCGGAGGCAGGTCAGACAGGGTAAGTGGGTTTGTGGCTGAGCTTCACACCAGGCCCGTGTACTTTGTCCCGACACTGATCTGTTCCTGCCAGAAGCCATGGTTTCCAAGTAAATTTCTGTGATGATTTACTCCTGGTCTCCCCCAAACCCCCGGCCCCGCTCTCCTCTTCTCTCCCCCAAACCCCCGGCCCCGCTCTCCTCGTCTCTCCCCCAAACCCCCGGCCCCGCTCTCCTCGTCTCCCCCAAACCCCCGGCCCCGCTCTCCTCGTCTCTCCCCCAAACCCCCGGCCCCGCTCTCCTCGTCTCTCCCCCAAACCCCCAGCCCCGCTCTCTCGTCTCCCCCAAACCCCGGCCCCGCTCTCCTCGTCTCTCCCCCAAATCCCCGGCCCCGCTCTCCTCGTCTCTCCCCCGGCCCCGCTCTCCTCGTCTCTCCCCCAAACCCCCGGTCTCGCTCTCCCGGTCTCCGTCGAGCCCCCGACCCCGCTCTTCTGGTCTCCCCCGAGTTCCCGGCCCCGCTCTCCTGGTCTCCCCCAAGCCCATGACTTGGCTCCCACGTTCTCCTGCCGCCGCTGGCCCGGCTCCCCTCCCTCCCGGGTCACCACGACTCCTAGGATCCTCGCGCGCGCTTTTCGTACCTGTACCGCCGCTTCCGGGGCCCGGGCCTCTGACCGGAAGTGAAGTCAGGCACTTCCGGCGGCGCGCTGCCGGCGTGGGGAAAATCCATGGCTGGGTGAGCGGGGCGCTACTTCCTTGTGTGCAGGAGACTGGAGTGGTGGGGGTCCGCCCCGTCGCATTCCTTGGTCCTGGCCTCGGGGCTGGGTTCCGAGCGCTGGGCAGTGTCGCCGCACTTAGCGAGCGCGAGAGGGGCGAGGCCGGGGTTCCTGGTCGCAGTTTCCCGGGAGGAGGGCGCCCTCGGGTCTCCAGGGGCAGGGCCGGCTGCGCCGTGGGGAGGCTGGGGCCGGGGGCAGAGTCCAGGTGCGGGGGGGCAGCGCCGGGGCGCAGATCCGAGGCGCTGGGGGCGAGAGTTCGTTTCGTGGGCGGGGTAGCTCCATTGCCCACGCTTCCTGGGCTGTCGAGTGGGTTCTGGCCCCCGGGACCAGCCTGTGCCATTTTCCCGGGAGACCCCTTAAGCCAGGTGAAGACAGCGACTCACGGTCAGCCGTCAGTGCCTCCTGGCTGGTCAGCACGCTTTGGTGTTGCAGAAGCTAGAAGCTTTGGCCTTGGAGCCATGGGGTAGTAACTTTTATTTATTTATTTAAATGAGAAAGACATAGAGACCGGGCTTGGTGGCCCACACCTGTCATCCCAGCACTTTGGGAGTCTGAGGCAGGAGGATCGTTTGAGCCTAGGAGTTCGAGACCAGCCTAACCAATATAGTGAGATGCCATCTCTAAAAAAAGTTTTTAAAAATTAAAAAAAAAAATTAGTCCAGGCATGGTGGTGCACACCTGTAGTCCCAGCTACTCAGGAGGCTGAGGTGGAAGGTTCGCTTGAGACCCAGAGGTTATGGCAGCAATCAGCTGTGATTGTGCCACTGCACTCCAGCCTGGGCGATGGCAAAAAGGAAAAAAAAAAAAAAAAAGAAAAATGGCCGGGTGAGGTGGTTCACGCCTGTAATCCCAGCACTTTGGGAGGCCAAAGTGGGTGGATCGCCGGAGGTCAGGAGTTCGAGGCCAGCTTGGCCAACATGGTGAAACCCCATCTCTCCTGAAAATAGAAAAATTAGCCATAAGTGGTGGCACACACCTGTAGTCCCAGCTACTCAGGAGGCTGAGGTGGGAGGTTCGCTTGAGCCCCAGAGGTTGTGGCTGTGGTCAGCTGTGATCGTGCCACTGCACTCCAGCCTGGGTAATAGCAAAACCCTGTCTCTTAAAAAAACAAAAAGAAAAAAGAAAAATGGCCGGGTGCAGTGGCTCACACTTGTAATCCCAGCACTTTGGGAGGCCAACGCGGGCGGATCACCTGAGGTCAGAAGTTTGAGACCAGCCTGGCCAACGTGGTGAAACCCATGTATACTGAAAATACAAAAATTAGCCGGACGTGGTAGCAGGTGGACACCTGTAATTCCAGCTGCTTGGGAGGCTGGGGCAGGAGAATTGCTTGAACCCGGGAGTTGGAGGTTGCGGTGAGCCACCATTGCACTCCAGCCTGGGCGCCAGAGTGAGACTGTCTCAAAAAAAGAAAAAACGACATAGAACTTACTTGGTGAGGTGGTTCTCAGAGTTAAACGAGGGGAGGTGTGTATAGCTTCCTGCTTAGCTATTGTGGGCTGTGAACAAATTGTTACAGCATAGCTTGTCCAGAGAGTGTTGGAAATTGTCCTTCAACGATTCACACAGGTTTAGTTCAATTTTATGTTAAGACATGTAGGTGAGAGGATTGTTTGAGTCCAGGAGTTCCAGTCTGCGTTGAACCGTGACCTCACCACTGCACTCCAGCCTGTGCTATAGAGACCCTATCTCAAAAAAAAAAAAAAAAAAAAGAAAAGAAAAGAAAAAAAGAAATATGACAGACCCCCGTATTATTGCCAAAGCCCTGACCTAGGTAACTAAGGCAAGGATCTGTCCTTAGGAGGTTTTCTTGCAGTCTCTCAGAACTCAATGAACACTTTTGCCAGATGAGAAAAGAATATTACTTTAATTAATTAATTTATGTATTTACTTCTTTTTTGAGACAGAGTCTCGCTCTGTCACCCAGGCTGGAGTGCAGTGGTGCAATCTCGGCTCACTGCAACCTCTGCCTCCTGGGTTCAGGTGATTCTCCTGCCTCAGCCTCCCGAGTAGTTGGGTTTACAGGCACGTGCCACCACGCCTGGCTAATTTTTGCATTTTGGTCGAGATGGGGTTTCACCATGTTGGCCATGGTTGGCCAGGCTGGTCTCGAACTCCTGACCTCAGGGGATCCACCTGCCTTGGCCTCCAAGAGTGTTGGAATTACAGGTGTGGGCCACCATACCCGGCCCCCTAAGGGGCCCCCTCTTTTTATAAGGACATCAGTGCTATTGGAATAGGGCCTACCCATATGACCTTGTTTTAACTTGGTCACCTCTTTCAGGTGTGTGGGTGTATTTGGGTCCTGTCTCCGAATACACCTATATTCTGAGGTACCAAGGGTTAGGACATCAACACATGAATTTTGTGGGGACACAGTTTGGCCTGTGATGCCTGCTTTCCAGCTGTGTAGCCTTGTCAGTTCACCTCCCCTCCTGGGTCTTGGTGCCACATCTCTAGAAATGAATGAGTTGATCCGCAGGCCCCCCCAGCTTGTGACCTGCCATTCTGTGTGATGCCAACCTGCCTTCTCCTCTTCTCTCCCACCAGGTACTTGAAGCTGGTGTGTGCTTCCTTTCAGCGCCAAGGGTTCCATACTGCTGGGAGTCGCTGCAAGAATCGGACAGGCGCTGAGCACCTGTGGCTGACTCGGCATCTCAGGGACCCGTTTGTGAAGGCTGCGAAGGTGGCAAGTTACCGGTGTCGAAGCGCCTTCAAGCTCCTGGAGGTGAACGAGAGGCACCAGATTCTGCGACCCGGCCTTCGGGTGTTAGACTGCGGAGCAGCTCCTGGGGCCTGGAGTCAGGTGGCGGTGCAGAAAGTCAATGCCGCAGGCACAGGTGGGGCCTCTGCACTGCTGTTGGCACCTTCTGGCTACCCTGAGGCTGAGTGGGCATGGGCAAGCTGCCTCTGCCAGTGGATGCGAGATGGTGGAGCCCTTTTCTAAGGCACGCGCTTCTGAGTGGGTGGTTTAGTAGGGGTGATGATAAAAATAGGATGCTGCCATTTTCAAAATGAAAGACAAGGTAGAAAGGTGCGGTGAAAATGGAAATCACTTCGCATGAGATCGCCCGGGTGTACCAGCACCAGCACAGTGGTGTGCATCCTTCCAGGCTTGTGTTTGCATAGATCCCTCACATTTTCTTTTTTTTTGAGACGGAGTCTCGCTCTGTCGCCCAGGCTGGAGTGCAGTGGCCGGATCGCAGCTCACTGCAAGCTCCGCCTCCTGTGTTCACGCCATTCTCCTGCCTCAGCCTCCCGAGTAGCTGGGACTACAGGCGCCCGCCACCTCACCCGGCTAGTTTTTTGTATTTTTTAGTAGAGACAGGATTTCACCGGGTTAGCCAGGATGGTCTCGATCTCCTGACCTCGTGATCTGCCTGTCTCGGCTTCTCAAAGTGCTGGGATTACAGGCTTGAGCCACCGTGCCTGGCCGGTCCCTCACATTTTCAAAAGCGATGTCGTTCCATACTCTTCTTGCTAATTTGCAGCCTTACTGGAGCTATTTTTGCTTAATAATACATACATACATACATATATACATACATACATAGATACATATATATTCTTTGTTTCGTTTTGTTTTTGTTTTTGTTTTTCCCCACCCTACGGGGAATCTTCCTCTGTTGCCCAGACTGGAGTGCAATGGCGTGATCTCAGTTCACTGCAACCTCCGCCTCCCGGGTTCAAGCAATTCTCCGGCCTCAGCCTCCTGTGTAGCTGGGATTACAGGTGCCCGCCACCACACCTGGCTAATTTTTTCTTTTTGTTTTTTTAAGTAAAGACAAGATTTCACCATGCTGGCCAGGCTGATCTCAAACTCTTGACCTCAGGTGATCCGCCCACCTTGGCCTCCCAAAGTGCTGGGATTACAGATGTGAGCCACGGCGTCCGGCTACTGTTGATGTATTGACATCTCTTCCCAACAGCCCAGCTAAATTTCCAAGTCCCATAAGCCCTGGGGCTTCCTGGTGGCCCCACTGGGGCTGCTCCCTCCAGAACCTAGAAGAGGCTTCACGGCCAGGGCTATGGATTCTCCACTCTGGGTGAAGCTGAGACACAGTTTTCAATCTGTTTTATATCTTAAGGTTTTGAGTAAGATTTTCTATATAGAAACGTTCCCCTGAATAATGGGATCAGCCAGCTGCCCATACAACAGAAGACACCGTCGTCATTGGGAAAGTTTCATCCCGTTCCATGTAGTGCTTGCACCGTAGGCTCTTTAGCCAGCTCCCTCACCGTGGGTGTCAAGCTTGCTTTTGGCTTTTTGCTGGGATGCGTGTGCTGTGGAGAATATCCTTGCTGTTTATGTTTCCTGCTGTAAAGCCAGGGTAGCTGCATGCACTGGCATTTGAACAGGGTGAGACAGTCCACCCAGAGCTCTCCCGAATCTCTCCCAAATACCTTAGAGTAGGGACAGTGGTCCTCATTTATTGGTGAGAAAACTGAGGCTCAGGGTTTCATGACTTGTTGAAAGTGCAGACCTGGAATGCTGGTACATCCGCCCCACTGCTGGTTTGCGGTAGGTTTGCCGTGAACTCTCAGTGTCTACCTGCATCCCCTTGGGTGGCCCCTGCCCAGACGTAGGCTGGGATATGCCTCTTCTGGCTTTTGAACAGCCCTTTTTTTTTTTTTGAGATGGAGTCTCACTCTGTTGCTCAGGCTGGAGCGCAGTGGCGCCATCTCGGCTCACTGTAATCTCCGCCTCCTGGGTTTAAGTGATTTCTGGCTAATTTTTATAATTTTAGTAGAGATGGGGTTTAGCCATGTTGGCCAGGCTGGTCTCGAACTCCAGACCTCAGGTGATCCTCCTGTCTCTGCCTCCCAGCATCCTCGAGGTGCTTCCTGGTGCTTCCATCATGGTCGGCCTGAACAGCCTTTTTATTGTTTTTCAGCTCAGCATTTATTGACTAAATAAGTGGATTTGTGTTAGAAATGTCAGTTCCTTTTCTCATTGCTGAGCTTATCACCGTGGAGTCCTCCTAGTAACTGATTTCAGTGGTTTCTGTTCCCCTAAGTGCTCCTCAGATGAAGCAGGAGAGTGGCTCAGCGTGCCTTGTAGGAAGAAGTGACAGAAGGAGACAGTGTGAGTGTGATCTGCCTGGGCTTGCCCTCCCGGAAGTCACAAGCATGCAGCCAAAGCTGTTTGCCTTTGGTGGAAATTTCCCAAGGTTGTAACATATTGGATATTATAGGAGCAAAAGCTCAGGAGCATAAAGTGAGACATGAGGCCGGGCGTGGGGGCTCACGCCTGTAACCCCAGCACTTTGAGAGACTGAGGTGGGAGGATCACCCGAGGTCAGGAGTTCGAGACCAGCCTGGGCAATGTGGTGACATCCCGTCTCTACAAAAAATTAGCCAGGCGTGGTGGCATGTGCCTGTGGTCCCGGCTACTTGGGAGGCTGAGGTGGGAGGGGTCGCTTGAGCCTGGGGAAGTCGCGGCTGCAGTGAGCTGAGGCCATGCAGTGGAGTGAGACCCTGTCTCTCTCTCTCACACACACAAAAGGATAACTTGCTGATATTTGAGTAGCGCCGGTTGTAAAACTAAAAAGATGCCATTGTGTCACCTTACCTAAAACAAGACTCGTTGCCTATAACTGATGTCAGCGTCTGCCTCCCCCTCTTCTCACTCTGTACCTGCATTCAAAGCTGCTCTCACAAGCCCAACGCCCCCATCTCCCCAGCAGTCCCCTCCATTGAGGAGGGCCGTAGTTCTGTTGAGAAGTGTCAGAGTTGATAAGCTAAGGGTAGAGTCATAGATGTTCTTGTTCAGTCTGCTTAACAGAAAGGCTGTTCCAACGGTAGGGGGCGAGGAAGAGACCATGTTTCATTCCTAATTTAAACATTGGAAGTCCAGGTATTTTGAAGATTACCTCATTTTTCAAAGGTAAAACCCCTCAATCTTCAGCCCAGGAAAATGGGACGCCTCATGCCTCAATTTTTTTTTTTTTTTTTTTTTTTTTTTTTTTTTTGAGACGGAGTCTCGCTCTGTCGCCCAGGCTGGAATGCAGTGGCCAGATCTCAGCTCACTGCAAGCTCCGCCTCCCGGGTTCACGCCATTCTCCTGCCTCAGCCTCCCGAGTAGCTGGGACTACAGGCGCCCGCCACCTCGCCCGGCTAGTTTTTTGTATTTTTTAGTAGAGATGGGGTTTCACCGCATTAGCCAGGATGGTCTCGATCTCCTGACCTCGTGATCCACCTGCCTCGGCCTCCCAAAGTGCTGGGATTACAGGCTTGAGCCACTGCGCCCAGCCTCATGCCTCATTTTAGCTGGGTCTCCTGAGTAGCTGAGACTACAGCTAATTTTTATATTTTTTGTAGAGACAGGATCTTGTTATGTTGCCCAGGCTGGACTAGAACTCCTGGGCTCTAGCAGTTCTCTCACCTCAGCCTCCCAAAGTGCTGAGATTTTAGGTGTGAGCCACCGCACCTAGCTGGTATCAGTTTTTGTACATTGTTTTGTATGTGTTCATTTTCCTCATCTCTTGACTTATTTCCAGTAGTTTCTACATTGAAAGCAATTGGATTAAGGTGGAGAAGGAGAATAGATTTATTGATTTAATCCAGAGGCTCTTTATGCACTAGTATATTATTTTCTTTTTCTTTCTTTTTTTTTTTTTGAGATGGAGTCTCGCTCTGTCGCCGAGGCTGGAGTGCAGTGCTCTTGAGATGAAGCAAGAGCATACCTTGTAGGAGAACGTGACAGAAGGAGAGAGCGTGAACGTGATCTTGGCTCACTGCAACCTCTGCCTCCTGGGTTCAAGAGATTCTCCTGTCTCAGCCTCCCGAGTAGCTGGGATTACACCACACCTGCCTGAGTTTTGTAGTTTTAGTGGAGACAGCATTTCCCCATGTTGGCCAGGCTGGTCTCGAACTCCTGACGTCAGGTGATCCATCTGTGTCAGCTTCCCAGAGTGCTGGGATTATAGGTGTGAGCCACTGCGACCGGCCTATTTTCTATTTTAGTTTATCAAAAAGAGCACTCAGAGATAAGAACCCTTTCACAGAGAGCGAGCCTTTGGTAGTGAAATGATACCAGATTTGGAATCAGAAGTCCTGGCGCTTGGCACAGGTCTGCCCATGGCTGAGGATGACTCTAGGACAGTCACTTCCTGTCTGGGCCTCAGCTTCTCAGATGTTAAGTCCCACGACCTCCCCCACCACGTGTCTTTATAGGATGTATAGATAGAAAAGGCCCGTGTTTACCTATTTGCACATTAGCTCTTTGCATTGGTCTTGACATTTTACTTTTATTTCATCACTTTGTTGCATGTACTATATTTTTGTGAAAACATTCAGGGTGTAAATAAATAACACATTCACCATTTCTTCCATAGATCCCAGCTCTCCTGTTGGCTTCGTGCTTGGGGTAGATCTTCTTCACATATTGCCCCTGGAAGGAGCAACTTTTCTGTGCCCTGCTGATGTGACTGACCCGAGAACCTCACAGAGAATCCTCGAGGTGCTTCCTGGTGGGAGAGCAGATGTGATTCTGAGCGACATGGCGCCCAATGCCACAGGGTTCCGGGACCTCGATCATGACAGGCTCATCAGCCTGTGCCTGACCCTTCTCAGCATGACCCCAGACATCCTGCAACCTCGGGGAACATTCCTTTGTAAAACCTGGGCTGGAAGTCAAAGCCATCGGTTACAGAGGAGACTGACAGAGGAATTCCAGAATGTAAGGATCATCAAACCTGAAGCCAGCAGGAAAGAGTCATCAGAAGTGTACTTCTTGGCCACACAGTACCAGGGAAGGAAGGGCGCTGTGAAGCAGTGAGGATTTCTTGTGCCATTTTCATAATGGTCATTAGCTTCTTTTAAGCTCGAAACGTAGCCTGAGCTCCTTCCGGAAGAGTTCCTGGGAGATCTGAGCTGATTTTGGAGATGGAACAGGACAAGTGGGGAGTCTCTTTCTTTCTCTCTCTCTTTTTAACGAAAAAGAGATGACAAAACTAAGTTCAGGGGCCATGGAAAATGAAAAAGTCCTCTATATTGTGATTTGTGAAGAGAAAGTTTTCAAGAGAAGAGGTGAGGATGGAAGGATGAAGAGAAACAGACTGTGGGAAGAATCAGAAGGAATCCGCTGAGGCAGGGATGGGTGTGCCCATGTGTGCCTTGACGGGACTTCATCTTACAGACTGTTAAACTGTCACACAGAAACAGGCTTTCCACTGTTCCTCCCAGAGCACCATGCACAGGTTTCCAGTTCTTAGTGTGGCTATTTAAAGTAGAAAATCTGGGGGCTGGGTGAGGCCACTCACACCTATAATCCCAGAAGGCTGAGGCTGGGGGATTCTTGAAGTCAGAAGTTCAAGACCAACCTGGGTAACATAGCAACACCCACTGTCTCTACAAAAATGAAGAAACAACCAAACCAAAAGAAAAATCTGAAATTTCCATCTGGGGATTAAATTCTTTCTATCTGGTGAGTAATCTAGAGATTCACGCACTCTTCAAGCAGCAGAGGTTCCGGAGCGATTAGGGAAGACGTATGGTCTGAATTTACGCATGCGCTGGGTGTGCTTTGGTTTTTGCTGGAAATTTGTATCTGTGTCTGGTGTCCCAAGAACATAAAGGTAATTGCCAAAGCAAGCAGTGATGTGGTGTGTTTATTTTCTTTTACTCTTCTAGGAACTCGATGCAGCTTTATATTTAATAAAATAGAGGTTGCATTATTGTAAGGGACTTTCATGCTTTTAAGTTTTGTTTTTTTAAAACTGGCTTCCTCAAAGCCATTTCCTGGAGGTGTACTCATCCCTCAAGAAGTGTGTTGACTGTAACTATGATTCAATTCCAAGCACCAGTGTGGTAAGTCTGGAAACCCAGGAATCGCCATCAGGGATCTGGGACTTGGTCCAGCTCCCCAAAGGAAACTGCAGGTCAGATGTTTTGACTTGTTTTTTTTTTTTTTGAAACAGAGTCTCGCTCTGTTGCCCAGGCTGGAGTGCCTTGAAACGGCTCACTGTAAGCTCCACCTCCCGGGGTTCACGCCATTCTGCCTGAGTCTCCTGAGTACATGGGACTACAGGCACTCGCCACCAAGCCCGGCTAATTTTTTTTTTTTTTGTATTTTTAGTAGAGACGGGGTTTCACCGTGTTAGTCAAGAAGGTCTCGATCTCCTGACCTCGTGATCCACCCGCCTCGGCCTGCCAAAATGCTGGGATTACAGGCGTGAGGCACGGCGCCCGGGCCGCCACATGTTTTGGCTTTTCATTTTATTTCTGGTTGCAGTCAGGTAGTTAAGTCCAGGGACTCTCTTGCCTTACTCCACCTCGTTCTCATTCCATTTCATTTCCGGGGCACACAACTTGGAAGTCTTTTTTCTCTGGAAGAAGAAAAATTCAATGTAGACCCTTAGGAACAGCATCTTCTTAGAGGGAAGCCAGGGGCTGGGCAGAGGTGGGAAGAAGAGAAGAGGCACACTCTTCTCAGGAAGGCTCCAAATTGAAGGATAGACGAAGATTACTGTAATAATAGTGGGGCCTGACCTCACCCCGTTGGATTTTGTGCCTTGGCTTGCAGAGCACTAGAAGGTAGCCTAGTAGCATAAATTGCATTTCTAGTGGGCCCAGATAAAAGTAAAATAACGGATTGGTTCAAGCTGATACTGAGTAGCAAAATTTTGGGAAGAGTCAACAGTGCAAGTTTGTTGCACGAGGCTGCCATGGGCGCGGCTATTCCACACATTACGGCGCGAGGCGAAAGCCTTAGTGGAAGCGCGTCCCGCGCTGGGCGGGGGACCCCTACTGCGCCTTGGCCCGGCCTTCGGTTCTGAGTCCTTTCCGTGGGTAGTCTCCCGGGGGTGGCGGCTCTGGGTGCGGGCACGGAGACCCCAGGACCAGCTGGTGCGAAGACTCGGTTCTTTACGGCCCGGTTCCCACCCAGGTCTCGCGAGAGCGCAGGCGCAAGTGTCGCGATAAGTGGACGCGGGCGAAGCGGAGGGAGATCCGAGCGGCGGCGGCAAGCGCGCTGCGGCAACTGAGGTGGGAGGTCCGGCTCGCGCGGGCGGCGGGGTCCTGGGGTCCCGGGGGTCCCGGGCGTGGCAATGGCGGGGTCCACGGCCCGGACCGGGTGTGCTCGCCAGGGTGGGGCACAAGGACCCGGACCCCGTGCCTCAGGACCGCGCGCCCTCCCGTCTCCCATGGGCGCGCTCTCCTCCCTGTGTTCTCCCCTCCTCTCCCCTCTCCCCTCCCCTCTCCCCTGTCCCCACTTCACTGTCCCCACTCCCCACTTCGGGCTGTGCTGGGTACAGCGGGCCCCTCGCCTGGGTCTCCGCAGCCGCCCCTTGTGCCAGGGCGGGCGGCCGAGGGGCGCGTGCTCGTGGCCCCAGCCCCGGGGTCCCCGTGCCCGCCGTGGGGGTCCCCGTGCCCGCCGTGGGGGTGTCCGGGCTCAGGTGCCGGCGCGCGGAGGAAGGGGCCTGAGCTGGCGCCTGGTGGAGAAGTCGGGGCTGCAGGGGCTCTTGGCGTCCTGGTGGCTCGCGCGGGTCCGCTTTCAGGAAGGGGGCGTGTGGGCCCGGTTGAAACCTCGGGGATGGCAGGGGTCGCCCTGGTCTCTTCTGGGCAATGGAGGAGTTGGGCTGTGGAGCCTCCCTGCAGGCGGGCCTGCCTCTGCGGGGCTCGCAGCCTGGGGAGCTCAGGGCTCTGCTTGCAGCAGGCCAAGGTTCTTGTTGAATGGAAACTCAGAAACTGCAGCTGCAGGAGTTCTACCTTTTGGCTATTAAAGGTTCTTGGCTGTTACCCTCGTTAGGGCTGGTGGGCCGGCCTGCCGTGAGACCATCGTCAGCGCAGGTGTTAGGGGTGCAAAGTTCTTTGCTGCGGCTTGTCTTCAGCCTTCCAACGCCAGACAGACCCAAGGTCCCAGTCTCCGTTCTGTAACTTTTTGAAGCTTCGGTTTCATCATCTCTAGAATCTGTGTAAAAAGCCCTGATTCACCACCCTGTTAAGATTGAGCTTACAAATGTAGTGCTGGTCAACCTGCGGCCGCGTTCCCATCATCTAGCAGTAGAAGACTTCAGGGATATTGACCCCGTTCCCCACAACTTTGCAAGTAGATTTCACTGTCATGAGTTGACAGATGAGGAAACCAAAGTTCAAGAAGTCTCGGTGCTTGGAAATGTCAGATACCTTTCTTTCCGGTACCTAGTTGAAAATAGTAGTAGTACTTATTAATGTCACTGGAAATAAACAATGAAAATTAGCACAGCTGTGATGATCATCTTTACTGTCACTGTTGCATGCCTCGTTTCTGATTCCCAGAGGCCAGACTTTTTAAAAAATTAATTATTATTATTTTTTGAAACGGTGTCTTGCTCTTGTCCAGTCTGGAGTGCGGTGGTGCGATCTCAGCTCACTGCATGCAACCTCTGCCTCCTGGGTTCAAGCAATTCTCCTGTCCCAGCCTCTGGAGTAGCTGGGATTACAGGTGCATACCACCACATCCGGCTTTAGTAGAGACAGGGTTTCACCATGTTGGCCAGGCTGGTCTCGAACTCCTGACTTCGGGTCATCTGCCCGTCTTGGCCTCGCAAAGTGCTGGGATTACAGGCATGAGCCACAGTGCCTGGCCTTAATTAATTAATTAATATTTATTTATTTTCAGGCACAGTCTTACTCTGTTACCCACGCTGGAGTGCGGTGGTGTGGTCTCAGCTCACTGCAACTTCCACCTCCCAGGTTCAAGCGTTTCTTGTGCCACAGCCTCCTGAATAGCTGGGATTGCAGGTGCGCACCACCACACCCGGCTAGTTTTTGTATTTTATTAGAGATGGGGTTTTGCCATGTTGGCCAATCTGGTCTTGAACTCCTGACCTCAAGTGATCTGCCTGCCTCCACCTCCCAAAGTGCTGGGATTACAGGCATGAGCCATCCTACCTGGGCAGGAGGCCAGACTTTTTTGTGAGTGCTCCTGGTAGGTAGTTTCAGGCATCAGCTGACTGGATTCAGGAATTCCTAGAAACCTGGGAAAGCATCATTTTTGTTTTTGGGTGTACCTGTGAGGGTGTTTCCAGAGGTGATGAGCTTGGGAGTCTGAGTGGACCAGGTGCTGAAGATCCACCCCCCAGTGTTGGGGGCACCATCCAAGAGCTTGGGGCCTGGAGAGGACAAAAACAGAAAAGGTGAATGTGTCCATCTGCCTGCGGGAGCTGGGATACACCCTTCTTCTCCTCTCCTCAACAGCAGCACTCCAAGCTTACCGGCCTTTGGTCTCCAGGACTCGTTCCAGCAGCTCCTCAAACTGAGAATTACACCATCGGCCCCCCTGGCTCTGAGGCCTTCAGACGTGGACTGTGTCACGCTGCCAGGCTTCTAGGGCTCCAGCTTGCAGACGACCTGTTGTGGGACAGTCTCCCTAATCGTGTGAGTCCGTTTCCCTAATAACGCCCCTCTCGTGTGTCTGTCTCTGTCCTGTTGGCTCTGTCTCTCTGGAGAACCCTCTTACAGTGCTGTGGGAGGACGTGCCACCTGAGTGCTGAGCCCCGCCTCTTGGGCGCCAGCTGTCCATCTGTGTGCAGCTGAGACTCAGTCGGTGGCTCGGTGGCGGGGATTTGGTGGCATGCTTTCTTGCTTCCATTTTTTGTCCGGTAAATTGGCAGCATGGCCGCCAGTCGCCTTTGAAGAATGTGGTTACAGACACTGGTGTGTTATGGGCTCCAATGAGTGTTAGGGGAGTGGGGATGTCCAGAGGCCCCACTGACTGCACAGCTGATGGCACGTAGAAAGGCTGGCCCTGACCAGTCCTTTGTCTGTTCCCAGAAGGAAAGCAACCATGGAAGACCTGGGGGAAAACACCACAGTTTTATCCACCCTGAGATCTTTGAACAACTTCATCTCTCAGCGGGTAGAGGGAGGATCTGGACTGGATATGTCCACCTCGGCCCCGGGTTCTCTGCAGATGCAGTACCAGCAGAGCATGCAGGTGAGCGGCATGTGCCTGGGTGGGAGTCTTCTCTGGGGAGACCCCTGGGCCCAGGCAGGGCCTGTTCAAGTCTTCTGTAGTTGAGGTGGGTCAGTATTAGCCTAGAGACCAGCTGCTCATCTTCCAGGCCTCACTGTGGCCACTCCTCGTTTTGGGGCAGTAGCTGGAGGCTAGCTGGGGCCCTGAGCCATCCTGGCTCGAAGGCCTGCCTTGTTAGCACCCTGAGTGGGCCTGGCGCTCAGCATTGCATTCACACAAGTGCACCCACAGACCGTGGTGACAGCATCGGAAAGCCAGTTCGTTCATCTAATTGAGGACAGAACCCAAACTGCCTGGGAGTGTGAGCAGCAGGACCGTCGGGAAGGCTGTGTTGGAAACACAGTGCGGGAGTGCCCGGCAGCCCAGAGACAAAGCCACAGCCGTGAGCAGAAGGACGGGGCGTTTTGTGGTCTCAGGCTGTAGAGGGCCATTTTCAGATTTTGGGGTGATTTTTACGGATTTCTTCTATAAAATAGTCGTATTTGGTTTCGTTACAAGTTCTTGGGGGATTGCTCACTGTAGACACAACTGCAGAGGACTCAGGCCTCCTGAAGGACTTCAGGATCCAAAGAGTGATGGGCCCAGCCCCACGTGGGGCTGGGATAACGGGGTCCCCGAGTGGTGGGGAGTGGAGTGCTGGGGAGTGCTGGCGAGTAGTGTCTGCAGCCTTGCCTGGGCCCTGTGGCTACACAGGCTCCTCTAGACCCCTCTGCCTGGACCCTCTTTCCCAGTCCCTGCTACAGGCCCCAGAGCCATTCTGTAGTCCTGTGCCCGTTAGAGGAGGCTCTGGCTTCCTGCGCTCTCAGAGCCCAGATGAGGCCCTGCTGCATTTGGTGAAGCTGTGTGTGTGTGCATTTGTTTTGTTGCATAATTGAATTAGTATGTGTTTATTAGAATGCTAGCTTGTGCCTGGATGTGGTGGCTCACGCCTGTAATCCCAGCAGTTTGGGAGGCCGAGATGGGCGGATCACGAGGTCAGGAGATCGAGACCATCCTGGCTAACACGGTGAAACCCTGTCTCTACTAAAAATACAAAAAATTAACCGGGCGTGGCACCTGTAGTCCCAGCTGCTTGGGAGGCTGAGGCAGGAGAATGGCGTGAACCCGGGAGGCGGAGCTTACAGTGAGCCGAGATCGCGCCACTGCACTCCAACCTGGGCGACAGAGCCAGACCCCGTCTCAAAAAAGAAAAAAAAAAAAAGAATGCTGGCTGCTAGCTTGCTTACTGCCGTTTCTTCATGAGGACAGTTTTGTATTCTGAGATTAGGTCACATATATATGTATGTGTATGTATATATGTGATATGTATATGTAAATGCTCTTTTATGAAATTATGAAGGTAATAGATGGTTGTTGTTTATATCACTGGCAAAATTAGAAGTTGCCAACTCTGAACTGGTTGCGGCGGCTCACGCCTAGAATCCCAGCACTTTGGGAGCCTGAGGTGAGTGGATCTCTTGAGGTCAGGAATTTGAGACCAGCCTGACCAACTTGGTGAAACCCCATCTCTACTAAAAATACAAAAATTAGGCGGGTGCGTACACCTGTCATCTGTCATCTCACCTACTCGGGAGGCTGAGGCAGGAGAATTGCTTGAACCCAGGAGGCAGAGGTTGCAGTGAGCTGAGATCATGCCACTGCCCTCCATCCTGGATGACAGAGTTGGCAACTCTGGTCTGAAATGCTGTAATTTCCTTGATGCAAATGTCTGGGACCTCTTGGCCTATCTGTCAAAGCTGTGGGATTCTAGTCTGTCTTGGACCTGAGAGGCCCCCAGTGCTCACTGTTAAGGGCCTCTTGGTGAGGGGATCAGTGATGGGGTGTGGTAGTCAGAGCGAGGTGGCGAGCAGAATGATGGCGGCGAGCCCAGCCTTGGTCCCTGGCCCCTGTCACATCCCATTTCTGGACTTCGTTGTGGTTCTTTCTCTCCTGCTGAGCCCCCGGCGTGGCAGAGAGGGCCTGGAGACCATGGCAGGCCGGGGGAATGTGTGCTGTCTGGTTTATCACACATCTGTGTTGATTTAATGGAAGGGCAAGCTTTCAGTTGCTGTCTTCCAGTTGTAGTTAGCTCCAGGCAGAGGTGGCACACGGATCAGGTGTGTCTGGGACTCCTGGTCCCTGCTGGTCGTGCCCCCTGCAGGTGGGGTGCCCACCCTTCTGGAGAGGCTCAGGTTTGACTGCAGACACAGAAGTGAGACCAGGAAGGCTGCTGAGTTTGAAGGGCAGTGTTAGGAATGCCCCAACAGCGGCAGCTGGGAATCGAGACACGGTAACATAGTAAGAAAGGAAGCGTGGGCTTGGACCACCAGAGAACACAGGTGGGAGGACAGAGAAACTTCCCTCCCCCGTCCCGGGCTTTCCTAGCCTTGGCATGCTTGGCATTTGGGTTGGGTAATTCTTTTTTTCTCGGGACTTTCTTATGCATTGTGGGCTGTTGAACAACATCCCTGGCCTCTACCCCCTGGATGCCAGCCAGCAGCACACACATATGACCACCCCCTGTGACAGTCAGGTGTCTCTAGACAGTGCCAGATGTTCCCAGGGGCAAAACTGGCCCCCACTGGGAACCACCACTCTACTCTGGTGCTTATCAAACTTTCACGTGCATGTGAACGCCCTGAGAATGTGTTTAAAAAGAAGTTTCTTTTTTTCTTTTGGAGACAGGGTCTTACTCTGTCATCCAGGCTGGAGTGCAGTGGTACAGTGTTGGCTCACTGCAACCTCCGTCTCCTGGGTTCAAGTGATTCTCCCACCTCAGCCTCCGGAGTAGCTGAGATTACAGGTGCGTACCACCATGCCCGGCTAATTTTTGTAGTGTTGACTAGAGACAGGGTTTCACCATGTTGGCCAGGCTGGTCTCAAACTCCTGACCTCAAGTGATGTACCCACTTTGGCCCCCGAACTGCTGGGATTACAGGCGTGAGTGAGCCACCGCGCCCAGCCTAGATTTTTTTTTTTTTTCCCAAGACGAACTCCTGTCCTGTCACCCAGGCTGGAGTGCAGTGGTGTGATCTTAGCTCACTGCAACCTCCACCTCCTGGGTTCAAGCATTTCTCCTGCCTCAGCCTCCTGAGTAGCTGGGATTACAGGTGTGCACCACTACGCTGGCTAATTTTTGTATTTTTAGTAGAGACGGGGTTTCCCCATGTTGGCCAGATTGATCTCGAACTCCTGGCCTCATGTGATCCACCCGACTTGGCCTCCTGAAGTACTGGGATTACAGGCGTGAGCCACTGCGCCCAACCTAAAGAGAAGATTCTGATTGAATAGGTCTGGGGTGTAGCCTGAGACTCTGCATTTGTTAAGTGCCGAGAGATGCTGCACTGCAAGGCTCTGGGCTATATGAAGAGTTGGTGACTCTGCCTTTTCCTCCAGCTGAGCAGGTCGTACCCAAAGGCCGACTCTGGAACTGTTTGGCAAGTCTTCTGGGGCTCTGTGAGGCTCAGCTCACCTGTAATCACCAGCCCTGTGTGGTAGACAGACTTCTGAGAGGGCCCCCAGATTCCAGGCTCTAGTGCACACTCACCTTCCTACTGCCTCCCAGGTTTCAGTCCATACTGACTAGGTATCATTGTGGGATTGTGCAGATGTAATTAAGGTCTCAGATCTGTTGACCTTGAGATAAGGAGATTACCTGGGTGGACTTGATCCACTCCCTGGGTGGGCTTGATCTGCTCACCAGAGCCCTTTCAGTCTCAGTCCATACATCTGAGGCAGAGCAGTCAGAGACATGGCAGGAGCGGGATTTTACAAGGGAGATCGGACGTGGTTGATTTTGGAGAGGGAGAGGTCCATGTGGCAAGGGATGTGGGCAGCTCCTAGGAGTGGATGGCCGTACTGGGCTGGCAGCTGGTCGGGAAGGAGACCTCATTCTCCATCCCTGTGAGCTTGTGAGAGGATGCTGAGCTCCACCTGAGAACACGTCCTGGTCGACTGCATTGATTTTTAGTCTGGGAGACCCTGTTCAGAGAACGCAACCACCTACGTCTGGACTTCTGACCCACAGAGCCATTGGCTGGTAAATAAATGGGTGGCATTTGAGGCCATTGCGTTCACTAATGTGCTTAATGTCATCTCAAAAGACGTCTTCCTCTTCCTAGGCTTTTTCACCTTCCCGTTGCCTGCCCCTCCCCGGTTCCCCAGCCTGGGGCCCGGTAGCTGGGGCACATCAAGACTTAGCACAGGACCTGCGGGAATGGGTGCTCAGAGATGTGTCCACTGCACTGAGTCACTCAGCCTTGCTTGATGCAGTCACTGAGCATTCTGTTTTTCCTTGGGTGTGTCCCTCTCAGCTGGAGGAAAGAGCAGAGCAGATCCGTTCGAAGTCCCACCTCATCCAGGTGGAGCGGGAGAAGATGCAGATGGAACTGAGTCACAAGAGGGCTCGAGTGGAGCTGGAGAGAGCGGCGAGCACCAGTGCCAGGAACTACGAGGTGGGTTCACGTTGGGCAAGGGTCAGCCCAGCCAGCCACTGAAGCAAGGGGACTGTGCACCGTACCTGCCAGGTCGTAAGAAATCAGATCCCAGTACCTGGGAGCAAGAGGGCTGTGCACGGTACCTGCCAGGTTATAAGAATTCAGATCGCAGCCCCTGGGAGCAAGGGGGCTGTGCATGGTACCTGCCAGGCCGTAGGAAATCAGAACCCAGCTGACTGGAAGCCTGACATGCCCTGTGTCACGGTTGCCAGGACATTCCTTCTGAGGCCACGCATGCTGTGGGGCAGGTATTGGTTACGCTTGCTGTCCTAGAGGAGGGTGGCATGAAATGGGAACACTTCCTGCATCTGTTGAGTGAGGCTGCGGTGCTGGCACAGATCCCTTTGTTGGGTCTCCTGGTTTCCTCTTCCCCCTGGGAGAACTGGAATGCAGGTCTGACGGAAATGCCGAGTGGTGCAGGACTGACAGGCTTAGGAGGTCATGGGGTGGAACAGGGTCCCGGTCCATGCTGGGCCTTTGGGTTGGAGGGCCCTAGCGAAGGGTGCCGGCCTCAGTGGTGGCTGTGTGTTGCTCCTGGCTCACCCAGGGCAGCAGGGAAAACACCCTGTCCTTGAGGAGGGAATTAGGTTTCCACTGAGCGTGCGAATTCCCTCTGCTCTGATGAATAGTGCTTTGCCAGGGTTTCGGTCAGTGCTGATCAGTTGTGGAAATGCTGCCAAGGTTCAGGCAGAGTATTGGGCGGGAAGTCTCCTTGGCCTCTGTGCCCTCTTTCGGCGGGTAGATGTCTAGCCCCTCCCTGGCATCGTGCGGTTTGTTCACACACTCTCCTAGGCCCTAGAAAAAGAGCTCACGTCTTCCGGGGTGTGATACTGGTTGGATTCCTTGCCCCTGGCCTGCAGATCCTGGCTGTGGTGCGTTGTGTGGGCTCAGCGAGCCTGAGGTGCCACGGGGTGGGGGCCACGGCCTCAGGCTTGGCTCCATTGCTGCTTTGAGAGCTATTTTCCCTGAGAGGTGGGGATTTTGCTCATGGCCTGGGTGGGTCCTAGGAGGGACAGTCCTGGAGGAATTGGTGGGAAGGGGAGGGAGAGGCCACAGGAATCTCCCTAACTATTGAGGTTCCCTTGTTAGGGGTGGAGAGGTGGCACCAGGTCATTAGTTTGGAGGCAGCGTGCTCATGGCATGGCTGTGGCTCTCAGGCAGGAGGAACGGAGTGTGCAGCTGTTGGAGTTCCTCTGGGCCGAGAGTCCTGAAGGCAGGGCCCACCTGACTCCGCCCAGGATCTCCATTGTGTGGCGCAGCTTATGGCGTTTTATGGGTACTCACAAGTGTTGTATTGAGGGCGGGGTCATTGTAGGGTCTCCGGGGGCCCTTTCTTGGGGAAATCCAAGAATGCAGGTGAGTGAGCTTACACTTGGGGCTCCTTGCTGAGCTCCAGCCACCTTCTAGCAGGACTTTCCTTCCTTGCCCACAGACACAGCTGCACAGGACCCCAGGAACAGTTGGAACCAGTAGTTTTCCAATTGTTCCTTGGAGTTCCACCTGGAAATACCTATTGGGGTTGAGATCTAAGTGTCTGAAGTCCAGCGACCTGCTGGCTGCCCTGTGTGCACTGGGACTGGCAGTCCCGGGCCTGGTGCCCCATCTGGCTGTGATGGTGCTGAGCGGAGCCCCGTGCCAACCCCAGCTCCTGTTCTGCATCACAGAAGAGTCTCTTGGTGGTGGTGAGGCAGCCCTTGCAGCTCACAAGGGCTAGAGTCCCTCCGAGGTGCGGGTCAGCCTCTCTCAGAAGGCAGCCACCTCTGTCACACCTCTCCTGGGTTTTGGGCTGGAGTACCCCGGATGAGGACAGCACAAGCTCATACTCCTCCCTGGGCTCAGGGGGAGTGCTTGGCGCTTCCCGAGGAAGGCAGGGCAAGAGGGTCCCAGAGTGCTGGGCTCCATCAGGGCTCACCGCCCTCACCTCCTGGGACTCTGGTACCTGGCAGTGAACTTGCAGGGCCTGCGGGTCATTAGAGTCAGGAGGTCTGAGCGTGCTTCTTGGTTATGTCCCATCCCAACCAGTGAGAGCCACGCAGCCTCCCCAAGGCCAGTCGGGGGGGTGGCTCTGGAGGTTTGTGTGAGGTAGTGTGCATGTGTGGCAGATTTGAGCCCAGTGTAAACTGCTTCTGTCTGCAGCCTCCTGCTCACGCCACCTGTCTCTGCCCCCATCGGCTGCTCGCTGGGGGAGTGCCAGCTCATTTCAGTGCCGGCCAGAGTGAAGTTAGACAGGATTTGCTGGTGCTGTGAAAGCTCAGCTTCTCCCCAAGGTCAATGCTGAATTGTAGATTTCCCGTGCTCCCTCTGCCTGCAGCGGCAACTGCTGAGCAGACGGTGTGATGAATGTGTGTGTGATCTGTGCCAAGTGCCCGTCCTGGGAGCCCTGACTTTGCACAGTGCTCACCATCATGGCGCCTCAGCGGGGGCGCCGGCACTGGAGCTGGGTCCCAGGTCCCGTCCTGGTTCTGCCGCTGACTTGGCTGATGCGTCCTGCTCGCCTCTTTTTTGCGCCTCGGCCTGTTCTGAGAGAGGCGTGGGGGTGAAGGCTCCCCGCTGACCCTCCCGTGGGTGGCACATGGCATCTGACTCTTGCTCTCTTGACAGCGCGAGGTTGACCGCAACCAGGAGCTCCTGACGCGCATCCGGCAGCTTCAGGAGCGGGAGGCTGGGGCGGAGGAGAAGATGCAGGAGCAGCTGGAGCGCAACAGGCAGTGTCAGCAGAACCTGGATGCTGCCAGCAAGAGGCTGCGTGAGAAAGAGGACAGCCTGGCCCAGGCCGGCGAGGTGAGCGGGGCCTCCACTCCGCGGGGACTGCCCTCCTGGCGCTGTTTTCCTGAGGAGAGGGAATGCATGCTCTTGTTCACCACTGCAGCGCCGCGCCTGTGTTTTTAATTGTGCTTTTCACACGGACAGCTGCGTTTTTTGCATAGTTGTAATCAGTAGAAGTATTAATTTTCCATTCTATAGTTTTCAATTAAAAAGTTGAGCACTTGGGCCGAGCGTGGTGGCTCATGTTTGTAATCCCAGCACTTTGGGAGGCCAAGGTGGGTGGATCACCTGAGGTCGGGAGTTGGAGACCAGCCTGGCCAACATGGTGAAACTCCGTCTCTACTAAAAATATAAAAATTAGCTGGGCGTGATGGTGGGCGCCTGTAGTCCCAGCCACTCGGGAGGCTGAGGCAGGAGAATCGCTTGCACCCGGGAGGTGGAGGTTGCAGTGAGCTAAGGTCACGCCATTGCACTCCAGCCTGGGCGACACGGTGAGACTCTGTCTGGAAAAAAAAAAAAAAAAAAAAATTAAGCAGTTTTTTTGCATTTGTAATTATGAATTTTGAAGGCTGATGAATCCGTTTTTTGTCGTTTATGGACTTTTAGTGTGTTTGTGTTCACTCGTGTATCTATGCAGCCCTCGCTTCTGTTGACTTTGGACAGACCCTTAGGCCTGGGCTATAAGGTCCCCAGCGATGGCGGTCTCTGCGCGGTTGTTCTCAGAGCCCCGCCTGAGGGCTCCAGTTTCTCTGCAGCCTTCCCTGTCGTGGATGGTGGTCTTTTCTGGAAATAGCTGTTGTTTTGTCAGGAGGCTTAAGTAGGCACGAATGGATTTTCATTTCTTTGACTATCCACAAGGTCTACAGGCATCTGATGGTATCGGAGAATTGCCTCTGAACCGGAGCCTGTGTGAACCACAGTCCTGGTGAAGGTTGCTTGCATTTTACAAACAGCCCGGACGTGGGCGCTGGTGGAAATTGGAATCTTCTGACCTCTCCTGTCCTTTTTCTGTGACGATCAAGATGGCTGGTGCCAAGAGGAGACATGCAAATCTGCTGGCATGGGGTGGGGGTGGGGTGGGCGTGCAGCAGGCGTCCTGGAGGGGTCCAGAAACTGGCCCTGGGTCCTTTCTGTGGGTGGTGCTGGGGAAGCATGTTGAGGTTGTTCCCCCATCTGCTTCTGGAGGGAACGTTGGCAGGAAAGGAGGTGTGATTGGCCTCTGAGAAGCTGCTCTTGCCTTGCCCGTGCTCTGGGTTCCAGTTCCTGTGTGCTGGGCTGTGCTGGAGGTGGGTCAGACCCTGTCCCCGCTGCCTGTGGGCACCTGCGGTTCCATGGGGGAGGGTGAGTCGTGCCCAGCACTCTATGAGGGGCAGAGGACTAGGAGACTGCAGGAGCCGCAGGGTGGTACCCGGTGGGGTGGGGCCCCGTGAGAGGAGATCGCGCTGCTGCAGGCCCTGCTGCTTTGGCCTGTCACGTCTAAGCTAGGGTGGCAGCTCCTCAGGGCAAACCCTCCTGCTCACTAGGCCTTGGCTGCCTTCTCCTGTCACAGGGCCCTGATTGTCAACCTCCTTACTCTGGAATTGTCTTATGCGCCTCTTCCTTGCCAACTGTCCGGCGTCCCCTACAACACAGGTGCCCCTGCGGGCAGGTGGGCTCAGCCCTGCATCCGGCCTGGTCCCGGCACCCGGTGTGTATTAATTGAGTTCAGAAGACCTCTGGGAGGATGTGTTTATTGTTAGTATGTTTTTAATACCTTCTTTTTTGACTCCCAGGTTGATGCTTCACCATTGGGTGAAGTAAACCGTACCCGTTGTGGGCGTTTGGAGAGCACGCCGCCCCCATGCGCGCCTTCCCAGAGCGTCGTGGGGTGGACGGCGGTGATAGGGTTCAGCGGGCTGAGCTGGCCACGGGTTCTCAGGAACAGGGAAATGAGTGCTGTGGCCTCCTTGTTTGCGGAGGGTGCCACCCAGCCAGGCCCACCCAGGTCGTTTGCTGTGTGAGTTTGCCATTGTCCTGCCCTGGGGGCGTGGTCCCCAGAGCTGACATCACGCCCATGTGTTTCCCTGTGTTAACTTACAGTGATGCTTCTCAGGGTCTGTCTGGCTTCTCACATTGGCTCGACCCACGTGCTCTTTCTCTGAGGACACCTGGGGTTTTCTGAGCTTTTCCAGAGGGTTAGGTCCTCAGAAGGTTGCCTGGTGAGGGTGGTCAGGATGAAGCGTGGCGGTTCTGTCACGCGCAGGTTCCGTGCTGTCAGGCAGACCTGCTGTCCTGGAGGCTGCCAGAGAGGCTGTTGGCTTTGCCTCCCCAGGGGCGCTCCTGCCTGTGCTATGCGCTCCCCTTCCAAGCGCACGGCCTCCCCAACAGCTACCGCCTAGCCCCCTGCACAGCCTCCGTCTTTGTCCTGTTGGTTGGCCAGTGCCTTGCTGTTGTTCGAGGGCGATGTCATTAGCAAACAGCCGGCATAGTAGCATTGGGGTGGCTGGGGAGGGACGACAGGAGCCACGATTGGAGGGAAGACCAAAATGATGGTGTGGTGGGTATGTGGATGCCTGGTGGGACTTTGGGAGCCTGCGGCACTGGCACAGAGACTGCCAGGTGCCAGGCCTGAGAGTCCAGGCCCATCTTGGCTGGTGAGGACTTTTGCTTCTGAAGCCGCCTTAGCAAGCCTCCTTTCCAGGGGCCCTGGCTGGGGCCTGGGTCTCCTCGGTCAGCTCCTGCATGGCTCGTGGCAGGCTCTGGGCTGTGCTGCTCTGGAGCGCCAGGAGGAGGGTGGGCCTTGCGTGTGAGTGCCTGCCTGGACCCACGTCCTCCAGAAGGAGGTGACTCTGCCCCCTGGCCCTCTGCTCCTCTGCTCCCCTCGCCCCCCTCGCCCGCTTGCTGTCTGTCCCCCTACCCTCTGCCCCTCGCCTGATGCCCCTCTGCCCCCTATTCTTCTGCCCCTCTGCCCCTTATTCCTCTGCCCCTTGCCTGATGCCCCTCTGCCCCCTATTCCTCTGCCCCTCTGCCCCCTATTCCTCTGCCCCTTGCCTGATGCCCCTCTGCCCCCATTCCTCTGCCCCTCTGCCTGATGCCCCTCTGCCCCCCTCTTGCCCCTCTGCCCCCTATTCCTCTGCCCCTTGCCTGATGCCCCTCTGCCCCCATTCCTCTGCCCCTCTGCCTGATGCCCCTCTGCCCCTATTCCTCTGCCCCCGCTCTGATGCCTCTGCTCCCCTATTCTCTGGGTTCCCTGCCTCTTCTGGTTCTATTCCTCTGCCCCTCTGTCCCCTATTCCTCTGTCTCCTCTGCTCCCTATTCCTCTGCCCTCGCCTGATGCCCCTCTGCCCCCTATTCCTCTGCCCCTATTCTTCTGTTCTCTATTCCTCTGCCCTCTGCCCCCTTTTTCCTCTGCCCCTCGCCTGATGCCCCTCTGCCCCCTATTCCTCTGCTCCCTGTCTGATGCCCTCTGCCCCTATTCCTCTGCTCCCTATTCTCTGACCCCTATTCTCTGTCTCCTGTCCTTCATGCCCTCTGCCCCCTATTCTGCTCCCTCTGCCCCCTATTCCTGTGCCCTCGCCTGATGCCCCCTTCTGCTCCCTATTCCTCTGCCCCTTTGCCTGATGCCCTTGTTCTCATTCCTCTGCCCCCTATTCCTTCTGCTCCCTATTCCTCTGCTCCCTTCAACACAGTCTCCTTCTGCCCCCTATTCTCTGCCCCTATTCCTTTGTCTCTCATTCCTTCCTCTTTGCTCCCCATTCCTCTGCCCCCCTATTCCTCTGCCCCTCTGTCTGATGCCCCTCTGCCTCCTCTGCCTGATGCCCCTTCTGCCCCCTATTCCTCTGCCCCTATTCCTCTGCTCCCCTATTCCTCTGCCTCTTCTGCCCCTATTCTCTGTCTCTGTCTTTTGATGTCTCCTTCTTGCCTCTATTCTCTGCTCCTCGCCTGATGCCCTCTGCTCCCCTATTCTCTGTCTCCCTATTCTCTGTCTCCTATTTCCCTCTGCTGCCTCCTCTGCCCCCTAATTCTCTGTTCTGTCTCTATTCTTCACAGTTCTCTCTGCCTGATGCCCCTTCGTCTCTATTCCTCTGCCCCCTATTCCTCTGCCCCTCTGCCTGATGCTCCTCTGCCCCCTATTCCTCTGCCCCCTATTCCTCTGCCCCCTATTCCTCTGCCCCCTATTCCTCTGTCCCCTATCCCTCTGCCCCCTATTCCTCTGCCCCCCTGCCTCCTGCTTGGTTGTAGCATGTGGGTGGTGCCTCTCCGCTCTCCTCACCTCCATGTGCTCCTTCCACACACGGGCTGTACTCACTGAGTGGCTCTCCGGCCCCCTCTGCTTTTAGACCATCAACGCCCTCAAGGGGAGGATCTCGGAACTGCAGTGGCGCGTGATGGACCAGGAGATGCGGGTGAAGCGCCTGGAGTCGGAGAAGCAGGAGCTGCAGGAGCAGCTGGACTTGCAGCACAGGTGGGCGGGGCCAGGGTGTGGGGTCGGGGGTCGGGGGTCGGGTCCTGTGTGGAGGCGTGCACGCCACCTCTCTCTCGGTGGCTGGGTGGGTTGTGGATGCACTCCCGGGTGCTGTCCTCATTCACAGACAGTCAAGAGGGGCAGACGCTGAGGCCTCTGGAGCCAGGACCATGAGCCCAGAAAGTGTCCTGATGTTCCTGGAGCAAAATGGGGGCAGCAGCTTCCTCCCCCTCCTTCTGCAGAGAGGGCTCCTGCAGAGCTAGATTTTACTTTATTTTTTGTGACGAGGTCTCACTCTGTCGTCCAGCCTGGAGTGCAGGCACCCAGAGTAACTGGGACTGCAGGCATGTGCAGTCCACCTGGCTGATTTTTTTTTTTTGGAGATTGAGTCTCGCTCTGTCACCCACGCTGGAGTACAATGGCACCATCTTGGCTCACTGCAGCCTCCGCCTCCTGGGTTCAGTGATTCTCCTGCCTCAGCCACCGAGTAGCTGGGATTAATTTTGCACCTGGCTAATTTTAAAAAATGTTTTGTAGAGATGGCCGTCTCGCTTTGTCACCCAGACTGGTCTTGAGCTCCTGGCCTCAAGTGATCCTCCTGCCTCAGCCTCCTGGAGTGCTGGGATCCCAGGCTGAGCTACCGTGCCCTGCTGAGGGCTAGGTTCAGAGGGCAGCGCCATGTGCCTTGGCGGTAGAGGGGGCGCGGCTGGGAAGGGGTGTCCAGGCACAGGGCTGGGCTCAGCCGAGGTACAGACGGGAGAGCCTTGTCTGGAGGTGTGGTCAGGAGACTGGGCATCTCCTTTAGACTTGGAACCTTCCCTCAGCAAATGCTGTTTTAGTAGAGTTCTAGTTTCGTAGTGGAGAGGAGAGGTCATTCCTGGGTGGGGCCCTGCTGTAGCTGCACCAGGGCTGGGAGTCGCTGCAGGCAGGTGAGAGCTGGGGGTGCCACTGCTGGAGAGGACCTTGCAGGTGGCCTGGGCTCACTATGCACCCTTCTGGATGAGCAGCCTGAGGCCGCAGAGACAGCCCGCAGGGGCTGGGGCCTGGGACCTTGGGGTACCTGTGCAGTGGAGTGTGTGTGGGGGGGTCTGTGCCGGAGGCGGGGTCCTGAACCTTGGGGTGGGAGTGAATGTGCGTGGGTCTGTGCTGGGGCGGGTCTCAGGCTGAGGAGAATTGTTGGCCTTGCCACATGCCTGTTTCTGTATGTGATGTATTTTTCCTTCAATAGAAAATGGCAGGAAGCCAATGAGAAAATCCAGGAACTCCAGGCCAGCCAGGAAGCAAGAGCAGACCACGAGCAGCAGATTAAAGTGAGTCGCTTTAATCTGCTTAAAAGTGTGTCAGGGGCCTTGTGGACATCCCTGTGGTGGCCTTGACTCGCCTGCTCCCGTTGGCCTTTCTGCGCTGGTGCCGAGCTCCGTGGGCCTCCTGTGAGGTTCGCTTCTGCCCTGTGTGCTGAGCACTGTGCTGGGCACCAGCGATGCCGTGGTGAATGAGGCAGATGCTTCTGCTCTCAGGGAGCGTGTATTTTAGAGGAGGGAGACTGACCACAAACACGAAGAGGAAATGTCCGTGTGCGTGATGACGTCAAGTGCTGATGAGTGTGAGAAGAAAATACAGGCATAGAGAGATTGAGAAATCTGCCCACAGTTGCACAGCTGGAGCTGGGTCTGTCAGGGCGTCTGCCTCAAGCTCAGGCAGTGCCATTTCCCCGTGGAGGATGGGCCAGGGACATGCTGACTCCGGATCCCTCTCCTGCCTCCTGTTGCCTGGAGAGCAGCCTCCAGACCCTGTGCTCTGGCCCCTATGCACCCTCGGGCCCTATGCACCCTCACCTCCACGCTTCACACCAGCTCTTCCTGGCTGCAGAGCTGACCGGCACCCCCAACCTGGCTTCTGCCACGTCCCCTTCCGGTGGTGTTCCCTGGCCCCTTGCAGTCCTCAGCCCACTTCCCACTTCTCAGGATTGGCTGGCTGGCGAGGCGATGGACTGTGTTAGTGTTTGTTGAATGACTGTCTGGTTTGGTTGTGGTTTCACGCTCTGCCTGTTCAGTGACTTGGTGCTCACAGATGCCAGCTGTCTGTGTCCCAAGGGGCCTGGGCACCGTCAGCAAAAGCCTGTCCTCACTGAGAGGAAAGACTGAGCCGTTACACATGTGCTACTAGAGCATCAGAAGTGGGCTTGACACGGGAGGAGTGGGGCGTTTTACCATGGAGTGCCATCCTGGACCAGACCTGAGATAGACTTTTGCTCCTGGAGAGCTCCCTGAGGCCAGGTGGGGAGCACAGCAGCTCTGCGGTGTGCGGTGTGCGTGCCAGCTCCCAGCGCGCGGCGGGCTGGGAGGACGGTGCTGGGAAGAGCTGCCCTGGAGTGGACGCTGAGGCTCAGTATTGGAAGCAGCTTCCAGGCCTCTGGTGCAGCCCGGGAAGGCCTCCCACAGGGGAGTCCTGAGGCATGGAGGCTGCTGGGGACCTGGGACAGTTTAGTGGAGGAACTTCGTGACCTCAGTGACTTTAATTTTTAATGGATGGTATTTTCTAGAGCAGTTTTAGGTTCACAGCAAAATGAGCAGAAGGGAAAGCTCATTTGTACCCCCTGCTCCCCCCACCACCACACACAGTCTCCCCTGGTAGAGTGGAGCATGTGTGACGGTGATGAACCTGCCCTGTGTACCCCCTGCTCCCCACCACATACACAGCCTCCCCTGATAGAGTGGAGCGTGCGTGATGGTGGTGAACCTGCCCTGTGTACCGCCTGCCCCCACTGCGCTTTTACAACCTCCCTTGGTAGAGTGGAGCGTGCGTGATGGTGGTGAACCACTGCCCTGTGCCCACTGCTCCCCCACCCCAATGCACACACACAGCCTCCCTGAGCAGTGAGTGAAGCACGAGTGGAGCGTGCGTGATGGTGGTGAACCTGCCCTGTGTACCGCCTGCTCCCCCCCACCCCAATGCACACACACACAGCCTCCCTGGTAGAGTGAAGCACGTGTGGCAGTGATGAACCTGCCTGGACACATCAGTGTCATGCAGAGTCCACGGGTCACGTGAGGGTCACTCTTGGAGTGGGACAGCGTATGGTTCGGGCAAATGTAAAATGTTCTATATTTGCCGTTAGAGTGTCACACAGAAAAGTTTTACTGCCTAAAAATCCTCTCTGCTCCCCCAGTCAATCCCTGCCTCTTTCCTTCTGAGCCCCTGACCACCCCCGCCTTTCCCAGAACGTCCTGTGGTTGGATCCTGCAGTGCGTGTAGCCGTTGCACACCGGCTTCTTTCTCTTAGCCGTGTGTGTGTGATTTTCTCCAGTTCTCTTTGTGGCTCATTTTCCTCTTCTTCTCTGTCCCTGGCCTCCATCAGGATCTGGAGCAGAAGCTGTCCCTGCAAGAGCAGGACGCTGCGATTGTGAAGAACATGAAGTCAGAGCTGGTGCGGCTCCCTAGGCTGGAACGAGAGCTGAAGCAGCTGCGGGAGGAGATCACGCACCTGCGGTGAGGGGTCGCGGGGGATGGGGCAGCCGCCTTGAGTGAGTCTGGGTTTGTGCGCGTGGAGCCCGCCGTGCAGACCCGGTAGGGGCAGGGCTCCCGGGCTCTTGGCCTTCTCCCTGGGGTGTGTGGCTATTTGAGTGACTCTTTGTGGCACTGCCAGGGAGATGAGAGAGACCAACGGGCTGCTCCAGGAAGAGCTGGAAGGGCTGCAGAGGAAGCTGGGGCGCCAGGAGAAGATGCAGGAGACGCTGGTTGGCTTGGAGCTGGAGAACGAGGTGAGGGCCTGTGTGGTGTGCGGTTCCTGTGGGTGTCCTCTGCCCTGCCTGGGGTAGCCTCAGTATTGTGGTCACACCGACAGCTGCTCACCTACAAGATGGAGGCTGCTGTGATGGGGTGGGAGGCAGAATCGTGGTCCCCAGAGAGTTCCGTGCCTCATCCCCAGAGCCTGTGAACACAGCACCTTCCATGGCAGCACGAATGAGGTCACTGGTCTGCTGGCCTATGGCGGGGACAGGCTCCTGGGCCATCCTGGGGGCTCAGAGTGACGTGAGACGGACTTGGCAGCTCTTGCTGGGTGTGGAGATGGAGGAGGGGCCACAAGCCAGGGAATGTGGGCGCCTCTGGAAGCTGGAAAGAGCGGGGAAGTGAACTCTCCACCAGAACCTGCAGAAGGAAAACAGCCCTGCCGTCACCAGGATTCCAGCCTGGGGAGACCCATTTTGGATTTCTGAACTAAAGTACTGTAAAATAGTACATTTGTGGGGTTTTTTTTTTTTTTTGAGATGGAGTCTCTCTCTCTCCCCAGGCTGGAGTGCGGGGGCACGATCCTGGCACACTGCAACCTCCGCCTCCCAGGTTCAAGTGATTCTCCTGCCTCAGCCTCCTGAGTAGCTGGGATTACAGGCGTCCGCCACCACGCCTGGCTAATTTTTGTATTTTTAGTAGAGATAGGGTTTCACCATGTTGGCTAGGATGGTCTTGATCTCTTGGAACTCGTGATCCACCTGCCTCAGCCTCCCAAAGTACTGGGATTACAGGTGTGAGCCACCGCACCCGGCCGGGATTTTTAAATATTAAAATTTTTTTTGTAGAGACGATGTCTCCCTGTGTTGCCCAGGCTGGTCCTGAACTCCTGGGCTCAAGTGATCCTCCCGCCTTTGCTTCCTGAAGTGCTGAGATGACAGGTGTGAGCCTCTGTGCCGCACCAATTTGTGTTGTTTGAAGCCACTTAGTTTGTGGTGATCTGTTTCGGTTGCAGCAGGGAACTGGTACAGAGGGTGGGTCAGAGTGTGGGCAACACTGTGAGCACCAGGGCTGGCGGGGCCCTGTGCTGGGGGTCTTCTACCTCCACTGTGGCACTTGGTGGGAAGACGTCAGTACTGGAAAGCATCCTGCAGTCATGTTGCAGGCAGAGGTGGAAACAGGTTCAGAGAAGCTCCCTCTCTTGCCTGGTGCACAGCAAGTTTGGTCCAGAATTTAGGCCTTCTAGGCCCTGCCCGGGTCCTCTGTCCTTCACGCCACTTCCCTGTGGCCACAGCCGCTCCCCTCTGTGCCTGGCACACCTGTGCCGCCTTTCTCGGGTGGTTGTGTGGCCTGGCAGGAGAGCAGACTCCATCTGCAGCGCTCTGCAGCTGCCCACCTGTCAGGCTGGCCACTTGCAGAGTCCCCCTTGGGTGGTGTGGCGTCTCTGCCCTCTTCAGAGCTGCAATACAGCCAGGGTCCTTTCGGGGCCTTGGCCCTGTGACCCACGGTGAGGCGGCTCCCCGCCAGCGGGGGTATCCGGCAGGAACTCTTCTCTCAGGTGCTGGGTTCTATAGGAGCTTAGCCTGAAAAGACAGATCCCACGCGACATCCTTTTCTCTCTGGCCGCCGTGTAATTTATTGTTTGATGGTTAAAGAGTTGGGGCTCTCAAGCTACACTCCGTGGTTGGGTGCTTGGTCCCTGGGCCGGCTCCTTCGCCGCCCTGTCCGTCTCCCCATCTGCGCTGCTCCGCGTCCCTGGGCCGGCTCCTTCGCCGCCCTGTCCGACTCCCCGTCTGCGCTGCTCCGCGTCCCTGGGCCGGCTCCTTCGCCGCCCTGTCCGACTCCCCATCTGCACAGGGAGGAGCGGTGCTGGTGCCTGCCTCGTCGGGACTGTGAGGCTCACCTGAGTCTATGTGAAGTGCTCAGAGCAGTGTCTGGCATGTAGTGAATGTTCTGTAGCGTTGGCTGTTGTATAGTTACTAGTCAAGCGCGTGCCTGTGCGTAGGAGGGGCTCTGAGAATACCTGACTGACTCGCCGAGTGGAGCGTTGATAACAGCACGGTGCTTGGCACTGGGTGGAGGTGAAGCGAGGCCAGAACAAAGGCACAGAGTCCCTGCTCTCAGATTGCTTCCGTCCTGGAAGGGCCACGAGACTCACCTCTTTGGGGTGCTGCTTAGCATGGGACAGGTGTGTGACACAGGGACACACTGGCCTGTAGGCAGTGATGTCACCCTCCTCCATGCTCCAGGGTGGCTGCCCTCCTCTCCTGGGGCCTGTTGGTCCTGGTCTGCTGTTTGATGGGGGGAAGTTTGGCTCCAGGACTGAGTCTGTCTGCTCCAGGGCCTGGCTCCCTGAGGGGCCTCTGGAAGATGGGGGAGGGGTGCGTCCTCATGGCTCGAGCACCTGAGGCTGCTCCCTGGGGCACAGTCAACCCCAGGATCATTTCTGGGGCTGTCTGCCTTCTCCCTCCGCAGCCACACGTTGCATTTAGCTTGCTGGGGTGTGTACTTGAATTTACAGGGCCAGGAAGGAGTGAGGCAGGAAGCGCCAGTGTGGCTTCTGCAGTTGGGGAATAATAACCCAGCCGCGTCCGGGCAGACTTGGAGCATGTAGCACTCAGCTCAGAGATGAGGGCAGGCTCTCCGGAGAGGTCAGGGACTTAGCGCCGCGGTCGTTGTTGTCAGTCTTATGTGATAATCCTGTGGCAGGCAATGACGGGGTCCGTGCTTTTGTTGTCTTTTCAGAGGCTGCTGGCCAAGCTGCAAAGCTGGGAGAGACTGGACCAGACCACGGGCCTGAGCATCAGGTAGGGAGGGGCAGGTGCCTCCGGGGTCCCGCCTTCTCTGAAGGGTCACTGGGGAAGAGCAGAGCCAGCCTCTGGCTCCCTGGCCCTGTCCCAGCCAGGCATCTCTGTGGCTGGTGGGGGCGCGTTTGTCCCGGCCGCTCAGGTTTAATGAGGCCTTTCCCAGCGGGTGGGGCAGTAGAACCGAGCGACTCATCCTGCTGAAGCCTTAGTAACATCTTCATTGAGAAGCAGAATATCCACAGCAAACCAGTGGCAGGCGTCTGATTGCCCTGCATTGTGGGCTTTGTGAAAAGACTCTTTTTGGTGTATACTGAGGAAGTAATTGGTTTTGGGGGAAATCATTCATATTAGGTAACTGTAACCAGTGGAGATGAACTGAGTTTTTAGAATTAAGAAAAACCCACCATATTAGGCTGTTCTTGCATTGCTGTGAAGAAATACTAGAGACTGGGTAGTTATGAAGGGAAGAGGTGGAATACGCTCACGCTTCTGCAGCTGTACAGGAAGCGTGGTACTGGCATCTGCTTGGCTTCCGGTGAAGCCGCAGGGAGCTTTCAGTCATGGCGGAAGGTGAAGGGGGAACAGGCACGCCACGTGGCAAAAGCAGGAGTGAGAGAGTGTGCGAGAGAGAGCGAGCGTGAGTAGTGTTGGGAGGGAGGTGCCACACACTTCTAAATGACCCAATCTCATGAGAACTCCCTGTCATGAAGACAGACCCAAGCTGTGAGGGATCCGCCCACGATCCAAACACTTCCCACCGGGCCCCACTTCCAGCACTGGGATTACACTTCAACATGAGGTTTGGGCAGGAACACGGATCCAAACGGTTCTCACCCACCATAGTGGAAGACAATTGTCTGGTGCCTGTAGCAGCCTCTTCAGCCAGTCTGTGCCAAGCTGAGTGCCAGCATGTCAGTGGAGGGATGTGGGATGGAGCTGCCAGGGGACCACGCTGGGTGCTGGGGATGGCATTCTTAGGAGGGCAGGACCGTTCCCAGGCCTGGTCCTGTCTGTCCTGCCCCATCCATCCCAGGGCCCTGTGCTCATCTTTCTCCAGCAGCTGCTCAGTTGGCCCCTGCCCTTCAGCCGCTGGGCCCCTGCAGGTGACCGCCTCCTGACAGCTCTGGTCTGGACCCCTCTGCGTGGTTGCCTTGTGTGCGCCAGGTCTCCAGGAGGTGCAGGAGCGGTGCTTTTGAAGGAGCCGTCGGAGCCCGGGGCTTGGGGCCTGTGGTGCTGGTGCCGAGGCAGCCTCTTGTGTTTGCTTGTGAGATTTCAAGGCTTCCCCCTTCTTGCCTGTCTTTCCTGATGCTCTTGGATACTAAGCTGAGAATGAGACTGTCTGAAAGAGCTATCTTTGACCACAACGTCCATCTGCTGGTCCTGGGCTCCACGACCTTCTCATCAGCATTACTGGCTTCAGTTCTCTGTCACCTGAAAGTGCCCCTTCATTTTCTTTGAGCTTTGCTAAGTCAGAGCACGGCCCGGGCTGCTGTCTCCTCTTGAGCTCCCCCTGTAGAACACAGGCTTCTGTAGGGCCGGCCTCAGCGGGGCCTGAATGCTTTGTGTTTCTGTCTGTTCTCTGGGCTTATTAATTGCTTGGAAGGTGACCCTTCTGCTTTTAGGAATACTCTGGCCAGATGAAACCTTCGTGACTTCTTTCCTGTGAAGGGACATCAGAGGCCCCCACGTGCCTGATGGGCCTGGCCCTGTGGGAGGGTCAGGTGTGCAGTTTGCCCTGGAGCACTGGGTGTCAGTCAGGCACGTAGCCCTGGCACAGCTGGCTGCTGTCTCTGGCTGGCTACAAAGTACTGCTGCTCCTTTCGGCCCTGTTCGCGCATCTGAGCGCCCTGCCTGGGCGTGGCTTGTGTGAGGGCGAACTGGCCTGGGGGTGCTGCCTGGGCGTGGCCAGTGTGAGGGCAAGCTGGCCTGGGGGTGCTGCCTGCCTGTGTGTTCCGTGTTCACTCTGCCCTCCCTGGTGGCCAGGCCCTGGATGAGGGAGAGGAGGGGTGGGTCTGCAGGGCTGGTGGAGGTGGGCTGCCTGTGCCAACCACCGGCTTAAAAGTGGGCGGGAGGCAAGTGGCGTGCATGTGTGGCGCCCTGCAGCTTTGATGAGGAAAACAGATAGTGCTTTGGAGGCTGGATTCAACCCACCCTCCCACTCCTCGCAACAGTAAAACCGGTGTCAAGTCACTGCTGCTCTGGGCCAGTGTTCCCTTTATTGAAAGGGAGACATGGAGCTCTTCTCCCCCACTGCGTGTGAAAATCCGGCGCAATCGTGTGTGTGTGGAGGGCCCTGTGAGTTGGAGAGGGCTGGTGTGAGCGTCCTCTCTGAGCAGCCGGAGGCTGATGGCCAGGAAGGCAGATAGAACCGTCCTCGCTGTGGGGGTCGACTCCTGGTCTCCTGCGTTGGCCTTGGCCGTGGGCCTGGTAGAGGGCAGGTTTCCTCATGTGCTGGGTTGCCTGCCGTGCCTGGGCCCCTTCAGGGCTCCCGCCGCTCCCCGCATTGTGCTCCACAGGGCGGTTGTCTGAGTGTGGTCTGCATCAGGGCCTGATCTCCGGTGACTCACGGTCGACATCAGTGGGGGTGCTGCTCATGTCGCAGTCCCTGGGAATGCAGGCTGGCGGTCCTGAATACGGCTCATAGAATCACCGGGATGGTTTGGTAAACGTGTGCTTTCTGGCTGTGCACAGTGGCTCACACCTGTAATCCCAGTGGTTTGGGAGGCTGCAGCAGGGGGATTGCTCTAGCCTAGATGTTTGAGATCAGCCTGGGGAACGTAGTTGAGACCCTGTTTGTACAAAAAAAAAGAAAAAAAATTAGCTGTGCTCAGTGGTGCGCACCTGTAGTCCCAGCTACTCAGGAGGCTGAGGTGGGAGGATCACCTGAGCCCAGGAGGTCAAGCTGCAGTGAGCTGTGACTGCACCACTGCACTCCGGTGACAGGGTGAGTCCCTGTCTCTAAAACACAAAAACAACAACCAAAGTGCATTTCTGGGTAAGCCCCGGATGCCCTGGGCTTGCTTTTCTGATTGTAGGGACCAGGTTTGGGCAGGTCTTAGGATTTCGGAAGCCCATGTCTGGCAACATTGAATGTGGTGATGAAGTGGGCAACAGGGACGCAGATGCGGTGAGAAGCGGGGGCCGTGGGGGCCATGGGGGCCACAGGTGCCACAGCTGCCGCTTGTGGTCCCCGTGGGAGGGCTGAGTGCACTTGCCGTTCGTGTGTGGAGACGTGTGCCTCTGTGGGCGAGCTCAGGGATCCCCCTCCTCCCAGCCATGGGGACCTGAGGTGACATCAGATGTCCTGGAAGCAAGGGCTCTGTGGCTGGGAGTGCCCTGGGCCTGTGCCGGCTGGGCTGGCGTCTGCGTGCCTCCGGGCCCATGCTGTGTTGGGATTTGGGGCTTGCCGAGGCCCCCGGCCCCGTGGGTGCAGAGGAGCTGCTGCCACTAGGTGGCGCCCCTGCCTTGGTGATCCTTCCCACAGCGGCTTCCCTTGGGTCTCTCTGGCCGGGTGGACCTGCTGTTGTGCCAGCATGGGACTTGCTTGCTGACACCGGGGTTTTGGTCGATGGGGATGTGAGCGGCTTATGGCCGCTGTTCCTGACTGCCTTCAGGGGGTGCTTCTGGCTGACCCATGCCTGCCTTGTTTCTGACCAGTGTTTTGGGGCCCTCAGGCCCGTGGGCTGTGAGATCCTGGCGTTGAGGCCAGACGTCCTCTGCGCGGGCCCTTCCCTAAGGACAGGGCGCTGATGTCCTGCAGTCCTCAGAGGGCTCTTCAGCCTAGCCCCGGGCTTGGATGAACCCTGGCTGAGCCCTAGGAGAGAGTGGCCTGGTCACCCTCTCCCCCATGTGGGGCTTCTTAGGTCTTAGGAGAGGAGGCTGGGCGAGTTGGCTGGGGTGAGTCAGTGAAACCATGGGAAGCCCCTATGGCACGAGGTCCTTACGTGTCACACACGCCTGGGCACATGTGACATGTGCAGCACACGGGGTCTTGCGGGCTGGGGGCATGTTAGTTTCTACGACTTTGAAGTCACAGGCAGGGAGGGACACAGTGTGTGTGGATGAGCCTGCGTGAACACACGTGGGGAAGGGCAGGGTGCCAGTGCCGGGAGTGTGGTGTGGACACCCTCACCCTTAGGGTGTTGGGAGTTGGGCTGAGGGAGTTAGCAGCAGTGCGAGGCGTGTGTCTGGAGGCAGCGATGTGATCAGCTTGGTCTCCCAGGAGCATGATCTGTCTTGGGGAATGATTTGTGGGTGAGGAAAGTGGATGCCAGCACACAGCCTTTGAGGTACGTGTCAATCTAGACAAGACCTCAGGGGCACAGGAGGAGGAGGAGGAGGAGGAGTAATAGAGAGAGGCCGGTGGGAAAGATGGCGTGAGGCTGGAGGCCATCTGGAAATGCAGGGTGCTTGTCTTTGGAAAATCACCTGTTTCAGTAGAATGAAAGGGGGTGCAGGCCATCTCCGTAGGAGAGCAGCGCAACCATTTGTAACAATCCAAAACTTGTTTGTGATTGGAAATACTCAGCAAGCTAAGAAGAGAAATTCCTCAATCAGGTAAAAGACACCTGCAGAAAACCACAGCTGATATAATACAAGGTGAGACTGACTGCATTCCTGACACGGACACCAGGCAAGATGTCTGTTCCCATCACCCTTTTTTGCACTGTGCTGGAGATCTTCAACATTATAGTTAGGGAAGCAAAAAGAAAAGATGGACAGACTGGAAAGGAGAAAGTAAAACTGCACCCGGAGACATCATAATTATCCATAGAAATTCCCAGGGAATCAGTGACAAGCCAGTAGGACTAAACCGTGAGGTTTACAGGGTCACAGGTTACAAGGACGACGTACCAAAATAGGTTACGTTTCTGTAAGCTAGCAGTGAGCCGCTGGAAGTACATACCGCACACGATGGCATCAAAGTCCATAAGATATTAGGGATGCATATAAGAAAATCTGTGTGAGATTTGTACACTGAGAAGCTTAAGACACAACTGAGACATTAAAGATCACCTGATGTAGAAAAATGGAGACATTGTAAGAGGAAAAATGAACTCTTTGCCCCTCTGCTCTCACACAGCCTCTGACACCAGGTACTGGAGGGTTTCCCGCACACCAAGCAGTTCTCCAGGCGACACCAGCTGGGTGTCCTGCAGCCTCATCTGCACACTCTCCACCTGGAGTTCCATCAGCTCCCGCCGGGTCGGGGCCCAGTCCCACACGTCTGTGCCCCCTTCAGATTCCAGGCACAAGTAGTGGGCCGGCATCTCTGCTTCATTTTGCTGTTTTCTTCCCTTCCCCTGTCACTGACGTCAGCTGTACTTCTGACTGATAGGCTGTTAAACGAGGCTCGTACTTCCCACTCCTTGGGTTTCATTAATTTGCTAGTGTGGCTCACAGAACTCAGGAAGATGCTTTGTTACGTTTAGTCATGTGTTATAAGGGACATTACGAATAATACAGGTGAACAGGTCGGTAGAGTGAGGTACGGGGAGAGGCGCGGAGCTTCCGTGCCCTCTCTGGACACACCACCTTCCGGGAGCCTCCGTGTGTGCAGCTTTGAACCCTGGCCTTATTTATGGGTTTTTATGGAGGCTTCGTTACAGAGGCATGATTGATTACACCACTGGCTGTTGGGAATCCACTCACCCTTCGGCCCCTCTCCCCTCCGAGGTTGAGGGGTGGGACTCAGAGTCCCAACCCTCTCATACCGCCTCAGTGTTTCGGATGACCACCCTGTCTGAAGCTGCCTGGGGGCTGCCAACCAGCAGTCAGCTCATTAGTTCACAAGAGACTCTCTCCTCACCCCAGATAAAGAGCTGCATGTATGTCAGGGAACGGAAAGACCAAATATGTATTTCAGAGTATCATAAAGGTACTGTGTTCTTGTATTGGAAGATTCATTATTGTTAAGATGGCAGTTTGCTCAAAGTGACCCAAATATTTCACATAATCCCAATCAAAGTCCCAGCAGAAAGTGATGAACCGATCTCTAAAATTTCTTTTTTCTTTTTTGATGTGGAGTCTCGCTCTGTTGCCCAGGCCAGAGTGCAATGGCATCATCTCGGCTCACAGCAACCTCTGCCTCCCAAGTATCTGGGATTATAGTCTCATGCCACCATGCCTGGCTACTATTAGTATTTTTAGTAGAGGTGGGGTTTTGCCATGTTGACCAGGCTGGTCTTGAACTCCTGACCTCAGGTGATCCACCTGCCTCGGCCTCCCAAAGTGCTGGGATTACAGGCGTGAGCCACTGTGCCTGGTTGACAATTCTAAAATTTCTGTGGGAATGTAAAGCACCTGTAAATTGTTATAGCAATAACAGTTTAGAAAAAGAACACGTTATAGGGCTTACACTGGCCAATTTCAAGGCACATTGTAAATTGCATAAATTGAGACAGTGTGGTATTAAGTGTAGACATCCGTAAATCAGTGGAACAGAGTAGGAAGTTCAGAAATGATTTAAGAATTCAGCGTTGATGGTTGTCAAAAGCGTCAAGGTAATTCAGTGGGAGAAAGAGTCTTTTCACCGGGAGTGGTAAACCAGTAGGCTGTTTGTGGTGAGGATGAGCCTGAACACCTGCCTCCTGCTGGACACAAGATTTAACTCAAATGATGCATAGACTTATGTGTGAAAGTCACAAACTCTAGAAGCTAGGGTTTGGCAAAGAGTTCTTATGATACAGTGAGCATGAACTGTTCATGAAAAAAACTGATAAGTTAGACTTCATCAAAATTGAAAACTTCTGCTCTCAAAAGACACAAAGTGAAAAGACAGACCATAGACTAGGAAAATATTTGCGAGATATTAACACATATCTGACCAAAGACGCGCTCCAGGATACAGAAAGAACTCTTACGAATTAGTAAGATTACCATGGCTTAAAAAATGGTCAAAAGACTTTTAACAGATACTTTATTATTTATGTATTTATTTTTTTGGAGATGGAATCTCACTCTGTTGCCCAGGTTGGAGTACAGTGGCACGATCTTGGCTCACTGCAACCTCCGCCTCCCAGGTTCAAGCAATCCTCCAGCCTCAGCCTCCCAAGTAGTTGGGGTTCCAGGCGTGCACCACCATGCCTGGCTAATTTTTGTATTTTAGTAGAGACAGGTTTCACCATATTGGCCAGGCTAGTCTCGAACTCCTGACCTCAGGTGATCTGCTTGCCTGGGCCTCCCAAAGCACTGGGATTACAGGTGTGAGCCCCTGCACCTGGCCTGCTTTTCACAGCTTTTCACAGATACTTTACAAGAGAAGGTGTACAAATGGTAAATAAGGACATGAAAAGATGGTCAGCATTGTTAGTTATTAGGGAATGCAAATTAAGACTGTAATCGCCCAACAGGGTTCTTCTTGCTGCCCAGAAAGGCAACGTGCCGAGAACGGCAGGTGTGGCAGCAGAGAAGGAGTTCAATGACTGCAGAGCCAGCCAAGGGAGGTAGACGGGAGATAACTCTCATATCTGTCTGCCTGAGAATCCAGAGGCGAGGGCTTGAGGGTGTTTTGGCGGGCAGTGGCCTGAGGAGTGGTGAGTGCTGATTGGCTGTGTTGGGGATGCAGTCATGGGGATGTCAGGACTGTCTGCATGCAGCTGAGTCAGTTCCTGGGAGATGGGGTCACAGGTCCAGGTGGCATCTCTCCATCTGCTGAAATGCTAAATCTGAAAAATATCTCAAAGACCAGTTTTTTAGGTTTTGCAGCAGTGATGTCTGCAGGAGCCGTTAGGGAAGTTCCGAATCTCACAATGTCTGGTTACGTGACTCCGGGCAGCAGGCACTGTAGAAGAGCAAGCTAAGTCAGCAAGGAAGGTCGTGGCTTAACCGGGCCTGTTCTTTAGCAAAGTTCAGGCCCCTGTAGTAATGCCGGTCTTAGGAATGCGGCCTTAATCTCCAAACAGAGAGGGAGTGTCAGTTTTCCTTGCCTTGAAGCTTAACTATAAACTAAATTCCTCTCATAGTTATCTTGGCCTCTGCATTAGAATAAGCAAAAAAATAAAAAATAAAAAAATAAAGAATTGCTCCTATGAGGTTAGAAGCAAGATGGAGTCAGTAATGTAGATTTCTCTCAGTACTTAAAATTCTGTAAAGGTGGTTTCAAGACCGCAGTGAAATACCACTGTGTACCCAATAGAGTGGCTAAAATTAAGCAAATTGACCATCCTGACTGCTGGCAGAGATGCTGAGCAGCCAGGCCTGTCAAACGTTGTCCCTGGGAGTAGGAAGTGGTGCGGCCACTTTGGAAGTGGTTTGGTAGCTTTGTACACACTCATGGTATGACCCGGCAGTTCCATTCCTTGGTATTTAACCCAAGAGAAACCCAAGAGAAAATGCGACCTCACGAAGATTTGTACAGGAATGTTTGTAAGAGCCTTATTCTAACAGTCCGGGAGCAGGAACAACTCAGGTGCCTGTCAGCAGGTGAAGGGATGTGTGGACCGTGGCGTCTTCACGCAGTGTAACGCGCGACATCGGCTGTGCTGAACGAATCTCTCTTGCTGAGTGAAGGAAGCCACAGTTACTGAGTTTATACTTACTATACCATCCCATTTATTTGAACTTTTAAAAAAGGTAAAACTGAGCAACAGTGACAAAAAGCAGGTCAGTGATCCCTGGAGTCTCGTGCTGGGATATGTTTGGGGCCTTATGGGGTGCTACCTTTTGACGTGATGGAGGTGACAGCCGCACAGGTGTACATGCAGCAAAGCTCTTGACACTGCTGTTGTGAAACGGTTCACGTGTGTGATTATACCTCACTCAAGCTGGCCTGTCAACAGCAAGCGGTCCGCTGTTCGGATTAGCTGTGAGGGGAAGGAAAATTCCTTAGTGGCGACTTGGACTGAATTGGAGAGTGGCCTGGGGGTGCTATTTAAAGCCAGCCTTCATTTGGGGAGGGACCCATCCCCTGAGTTTATGGAAGGCCTAAGACAATGGCTGCCTGGACCTCCTGGGTCTTTGGCACATCACACGAGTGCTTTGAGGAGTGGCAGCACGTGGGGTCAGGTGTAGGCTGCAGGGGGTCAAGGAGTTTCACATTTGATTAAAAGCAGAACAAGCTACGTGAATGCAAACGAATGGAATGAAAAGTGGAACGTGGTCTTCCTTTCCTTCCCTCCCTGGTGACCTCTCTCAGGGCTGGGTGCCCCGTGTCACAGCTTCCTGGCCATCACTCAGGGCTGGGTGCCCCGTGTCACAGCTTCCTGGCCATCATCACCTGTGTTCTCATTACTCCTGGGGGATTGTTCCAGAACAGAACTGACTGCCCTAGAGGCGGGCGGCAGGGCATGCTGTGCTTGGCCCCAGTTCGTCTTTCTAGGCAATGCCTGATGAGTTTCTTGTGTGTTGTTCTGGAAATGTGTGTGCATACAAGCTCTTTATGTACTCCCATCACCTTTTAAAATTGGGGCTCCTTCCACAGTTTTATTCTGCAACTGTTTTCACTCAGTTTTTGACAGTTTTTTGGTGCCAGCACAGGCTGGTTTGCTGAACTACTTTAAAGAGTGCAGACAGACTCAGACTCCAGCAGCCCCTGTTGATGGACACTTAGGGGGTTTCCAGCTTTTCCCCCCAATTAGCCATGCTATGCTGGATGGGTAAATTCTTAAAAGCAGAATTTTTAGTTTAAAAGAGATGTGCATTTGAGACTCATAGCTGGTGCCATACTGCCCTCCCGGAAAGCATGACTGCTGTGCGCTCCCGTCACGGCGTGTGACTGCCGTCACCTAATTGGGGTGGTGTGCTTTCAACGTTTCTAGAGATTCACCTCGAAGTCACAGTACGGTGAGGAGAGCAGGCATCTTCAAAGGCTTGGCTTTTCAGAAATGTCATTTGGCAGCTCCCGCTGAGGGGGACCCTATGAAACAGGAAGGGGGTGGGTGTCAAGTCCTGCAGCCGAGCCGCCACATTAGGGAGGAAATCATTTGCTCCTGGCCGAGATGCCGCTGTTTTTGGCTCCTTGCCCGTCCCGTTGTGCCTGAATCTGGCCTCGTTTCCCACCCCGCCGGCTGGGCATTGTACCTGTCAGCAGGGCCAGGCCTGAGGGGGGCTGAGGAGGGCTGAGAGGAGGCTGGACTGGGGAGGTGGAAGGCGGGCATTGCCAGCTCAGAGGCCTGGCAGCGTTGCCCACCTGGAACTGCTGACCCATCCTCTGGAGTCAAAGCCGGGCACCTGTCCGTGCTGACCTGGACATTTTCCCAAAAACATTTGTAGACTGGCCAGATGACACGTCTCAGGGCTCAGCTTCCCTGATGTGTGAGGCCAATTAGGAGGACAGTGAAGGGATGCGTGATTTTCCTCCAAGGAAGGGTCTAATTGACCAGCCCGGACACTTTTATTATCCTAGTTACCACGCGCGTGATTTGTAATTACCCGGCTGTTGCGTTGATCAATACCAGACGCCCTGGTAGTGCTTGGGAAGGTGGTGGGTGACTGTCAGGTATGTTGGTCCCTTTTAATTGGCGCCGATTTGATTTTCTTCGGGGCATGGGAGGAGGAGGGGAGAAGCGTTTGGACTTCTGGGTACTTGTGTGAGTGCAGTCCTTTCTTCTGGGCCTGCATGCCAGATGCCTTGGGGTCTGGGCCGCGTTACCCCTTTTGGTTTGTTCATTTGTTCACTCATTTGTTCACTATGAGCTGCTCTCGTGGAGCCCATAATCTGGAGGGAGAGGGATGCCCCAGGCCTGTGCGTCTGGTGTGCAGGTCCCGGGCCCCTGGAGCTGGAGAGTGGCGAGCGTGCTTCCCTCCAGAGGTGCAGGCCAGGGTGGGGCATGGGCCAGGTTCCCAGCTGCATCTGAGCACGGTGCCTGCCATCTCTCCTCCTCTCAGCCCCACCTCCTCCTGTGGCTGAGTCCTGGCCGCTTTCTGCCTTGGGGTTGTGTTGGTCTTCCGTCAACTCTTCCTCTTAATCCTGAGCTTTGTGAGTTAAGAGCCAGGGTGTCCCTTTAGCGCCCCTGTGCCGGGCGTGCAGTAGGCGCGTGCTGAGCCTTTGAAGAGTGGAGGACTGAGTGAGGGCGTCTCTGTGCCTTGCAGTTGGTGGTGATGTATGGGCTGAGCCCCCAGCGCTCTTGGCTGCTGTGACAGGCCCCCCCTGGGGCTACTCGAGCTGCACTACCCCAGCGAGACCCCCAAAGCAAGGCCAGCAGAGAGCTTCCTGACAGCTGCCTCACTTTGGAGACAGCCCTGGCTGGGGTGCAGCCTGTGTGCCTCTCCGATGGGTGTTCCCAGCAGCGCCGACAGGCTCACGCTGCCCTGTTGGACTTCATTCCAGGTTGGGTCGGGCTGGCTGGAGACTGTCAGAGTCTGGGGGCGGTGCTGTGGGTGTTGGAACCCCACAGGGAGAGGCGAGAGAAGTGCTTCCCCGAAGAGACCGCGGGGCTCCACGCCGGCATGTGCCTGGCTGCACAGACAGCTGAGTGCTCCGCTGCGTGTCTGGGTGGAAACGCTCTGGGTCTCACCTGGTCTCGGAGCACTTTTTGGGGCTTTTCTCCAAGCTTTGTAGTTACGGCTCTTTTACTTCTAGGCCTCTTTTTAAATTGATTTTAAAAAGTCTAAGGCCAGATAGTGACAGGCTTTAGACAAGTCTGGCTACCGTAGGTTCCAGGATTTATTTCAGAGGAGGCAGTGGCATCCCCGGTGGTATCTAGGCTGGTTTTTACTCATGGGTGCTTACTGGGGTCCTGTTATGTGCTGGCCTCTCCTTGTGGGCTGAGGGCTCCCAAGGTGTCCAGGTCCCTACTTTTACAGGTAGAGTAGGGGGTGCCCTGGCCTGGAATGGAGGAAGGGTCTGGGCAGCTTTGTGACAGGGCTGGTAGGAGGGGGATTTTGACAGGCGGCTTGAAGCCAGCACCAGCCAAGGGCCAGAGGCAGAGAAGCTGAAGGCCTCCCCTGGGCAGCCCACCACTGCCTGCGCTTCTCTCCGAGGACTTCCCAACAGTGCCATGGCCTTCGGAGGGCTGGGGTCTCAGGCAGGCTACGGGCAGCTACACAGCTCCCTACCCGACACTCTTCAACGTCAGCTTTGGGGCTGTGAGGTGTGACCTCTACAGGATCACCTGCGGTCACTCCCTGCGGCCAGCTGTAGCTGTCATTTGTGTCAGGAGCTGCTGGTCTTGCCTGCACCACCCACCTTCCCACCCTTCACCCACCCTGCATGGCCTGGGTTCTTGGGAGGAACAGGAGATCCTGAGCTGTTGAATTCCTGAAACCCGTGGTCAGGCGGCATCCGTATCCCGCTCCTCCCAGCCCCTGCACGCTTCTCAGTGGTGTGGCCTCCTGGACACAGGTGCCCTGACTCTGCTGGAGAGGCGGGAGGGGTGGCTGGGCCGAGGAATGGACCAGCCTTTTCACGCTCAGTGGCTGCGGGGGCCGTGTGCATGAAGCAGGTGGTCCTCGCGGTAGCGCCGTTTGTGCAGAGCCGTGTGGGGGAGCGGGCTTGTGTTAACAGAAGTGCTGTGAGATGATCACTTCATCATGAGCCAGTCAGCACCAGCCTGTGGGGCGGCTGATGTGGACTCAGTGATCTGACTTTCGTGGTTTTTGTTTGATGATGTTTCCACTGTTACCCAGGTGCAGAGCTCTGACCTCCCATGGTCGGAAGTACCGTGCGCGTGTCTCATCTGGACAGCATGCAGAGACCTTTGCCGGCAGCTGTGTGTGGACCCTGGGACTCTGTTACATGGCTGGGTGCTGAGGGGCGGGGGTCCAAGCCAGGCCAGCAAGCCTTCCTTAGACCCCCTGTGTGCAGGCCTGGTGCCCGGTGTCGGGGACCCAGTGGAGAACAAGATCAGGCTGTTGCCATGAGACTTTCGTCTGGTGGGGAGTCCTGAGAAGGACGTGGATGAGGTGGGGAAGAGGTTCCAGGTGAACGCAGGTGTCCACCCCGCATTCCAGGGTGGCAGGTGGCCCGGGGCGGGTGTGGAGTGGTTGGGTGGGCGCCCCGCGTGCTGTGTTAGTGTAGGGTGGTGCACACCTGGCCGGCAGGCCTTGCTTCCGCTCTTCACCCTCCACCCGTCGAGGGCGCGCCCTGGGAGGGGGTGGAGGATGGTGGGCATGCGTGGGAAGGGCTCTGAGATCCTTGGCCTCATGGAGAGCGTTGGGCAGTTACCTGTCCCCTGCCCTTGGGCCTTTGTGCGTGTGGCTTCCTGGAACTCTGGGGGATTTGTCCCTGGTGACTGCAGGGGGCTCTCCTGTCCCTTTTATTCAAGCTCCACTGTCTGCCCTAAGCTGGGGACTGGTCCAGCTGACCTGGACAGTACGGCACGTGGGCCCTGCCGGCCAGCGTGGTGTTGGGAAGCACGTGGGTGGGTGGTGGGTTGGGTTGTGGCCTCACCGCAGAGCCTGGGCTGCCGCTGAGAAAGCCGTCTCCTGGGACCAGGACTCTGGGCTTGAGAGGCTGGTGGTCTTGGCCCAGCAGTTCAGCGGCTGCCCGGTGTGTCTGCCTGGCCTGGCCCTCGTCTGGTTGCTGCTGCCTGGGAGGCACTCCTGCCCTTGCCCAGGCGGGGCACTGCGGGGGCGAGGATGCGGCGTGGAAGACTGCTGATTCAGGAATCGAAACTCCAGGGGCATCCGTGTAGCAGAGTGATTCTAAGATGATTAAGAAAACCATCGATGATGTAAAGAAAGTGTTCACTGCAGTGCTTATTGAGTGGTTTGCCACGTGCAGGGCATGTGGGGGTGGCGCACCGGGCTGCAGACATCCTTCATGACAGCAGGCAGGGGACCTCCTAGGAGTCTTGGCTGTGACAAGTGAGGTGTGAGGGCTAGAGAGGTGAACGTGTGGAATCTGTGACCTAGAAGTAGCACACTCCTTTCTTGGAAAGCAGTTAGGTATTCCATTCCTTAGTCCATATGCCGTCGTTTAAAACGGCCAAAACCAGAGGCCTAGAGAATGTACCTGGAAGATGCAGTGAGACCATTTCTGATCATTGTGGCCTTTCCGGGGCTCAGTCTCCTCGCTTTGGAAAGGCCATTTTGGCAGAGGTCTACTGTGAGGCATCTCCCTGCAGGTGGAATTTCCGGGGCTCAGTCTCCTCGCTTTGGAAAGGCCGTTTTGGCAGAGGTCTGCTGTGAGGCATCTCCCTGCAGGTGGAATTGGGGTTGCGCGTCTTTCTCAGGCTGGCATCACGCAGGCCCCAGTGCACTCTGGCAAGGCTGGGAGGACTGTGACGGGGGGACCCGCTGCCTGCCCTCAGCCTGTTGGGCCCCACAGTGCGTCTCTCTGCGGACTGGTCGCCGGCTTCCTGTGGCCTGTGTATCCTCCGTGTGGCTGGAGCTTTGGAACCCTGTTTGGTAGCTCGGAGCTCATGAGCCCAAAGGGCAGGGGCCTGGTTCCTCGCCCATCCTTGCCCAGCCTGATGGCCCGTGCCTGTGGACTGTATGTGGGCACCTGCTTTAACCCCTGCAGGAGTAGGGGCCACCAGGAGCATGTGGCTCTGGGCCTCCCTGGTAGAGTCACTCACTGGCAGGAGAACTGCGTGGGACCCACCAGGCAGTGTCTGTCTCATGGACGCCCGTGGACCTGCAGCCTGGAGAGGGGGCCTGAAGTGTGTGTTCCGCGCTCTTGACCCCCAGGAAGCACTGGCCTCTGTTGAAAGCCTCCTGCCGCAGAGCGCTGTTGCTCTCCCGGATGGACGGCCGTGTGGGCTCCTTGCTCCAGCGATGCCAGTGCTCCGGCTGCTGTGTGTGGGTGGCTCCCCTTTGTCTCAGCCCTGGGCTTAGAGCAGGCCAGGTGCTCAGGCAGTGCTTTCGTTGCTTGAAGGGGGGTGCGTACCTGGCTGCAACCTGTGGAGAGTGTGAATGGCTGGCAGAAGCCAAGGCGGGCTCTTGGGACATGAGAGCAGGCGGCCGGCCTGGAAGCTTCCGTGGGGCTGGTCAGCTCCGGCTAGCTCTTCCTGGCACAGATCCACGCTGGGCTGGGTGCCATGGCTCACACCTGTAATCCCAGCACTTTGGGAGTCTGAGGTGGGAGGATCGCTTGAGCCTGAGAGTTCAAGACCAGCCTGGGCAACACTGTGAGACCCCATCTCTATTTTAAAAAATAAAAATATAAAGATGGGATCATGGCACAGGGGCAGCACAAGTTCCAGGCGCACAAGCCCGCAAAGAGCAAGACAGCAGCGGCGGCCTCTGAAAAGAATCGGGGCCCAAGAAAAGGCCGTTGTGTTATTGCTCCCAAGAAGGCGCGCGGTGTGCAGCAGCAAAAGCTCAAGAAGAACCTAGAAGTCGGGATCCAGAAGAAGATCGAACATGACGTGGTGATGAAAGCCAGCAGCAGCCAGCCCGAGAAGCTGGCACTGCTGAAGAATGGGGCGGCTGCCGCCACCTCCTCCCAGACACCTTCCTGGGGACGCTGGCCCCAGCGCAGGCCAACACCCCACCCCCTACCTCCATATGGGATCTTACAAGTGATCCCACAGGCTGCACTGTCAGGAAGAGGACCCGTCCCCCAGCACTGGGCTTCATCTAGAACTTGAGTGGGGGCCAAGGGTGCTGAGAACCCAGCAGTGACCAGGAAGATACAGTCACCAGCTTCATCTGTCCCCGTGCCCCTTCCCAGGTCCTGCCTCCACAGGTTTAACCCAGAACAATAAACCTGGCTTTGTCCTAAAAAAAAAATATATATATACACAGACACACACGTATATATATAAAGATAACTGCCCCCCCACCCCCCAAAAAACAAAACAAAACCCAAACTCATGGTGGACCTCGGGATGCGCGGGCGCGCTCGTGGGGCAGAGCTGGGTGTGGCTGCCCCATCCTGGGCCTGTTCCCAGGCTGGCTCCTAGAGCAGGGGCTGATGGGCCCTGTGGGTGTGGGGAGATGGGTCCGTCACAGGCTGGGGCCGGGGACCCGGGGGCTGGGACCTGGGGGCTGGGACCGGTCTTGGTTCTCAGGCAGGGAGGGGTTGTGAACTCTGTTTTGGGAATGTGTGTTTGAAGTGTCAGTGATGTAGCCAGAAGGAGGTGTCAGACAGCAGCCCGTGTCAGGCTGGTGTGGCTCCTAGAGGAGCCCTAGGGCTGGCCTGCCCAGTGAGGGGCTGGGATGAGCTGGCCTAGGGGAGTGGCAGAGCAGGAGGAGCAGATAGCTGGCCCGAGTCTGGAGGGATTTTGGCTTTTGTGGGTAGCTTTGAGCCTGAGGGCCAGTGCCCCACCGGGTCAGAGAGCTCTGCAGCCCACCAGTCCTCGGTGTGCCCGTGTCCAAGCTTGGGCCCCCGTGTGCAGGAAGAAGGTGACCGTGCAGTGCACGTCGTGTGTACCAGACGTCGGCGGCGTGATGCGTGGGTCGGGGCTGGAGATGAGAGGAGGAGTGAGGAGAGGCTAGAAGCCCCCAGAGCAGTGGGGTTTCTTCCTCTTCTTCACTGGTGAGCGCTTCTTGAGCACTTAGGTGTGCAGGCCTGGTGCTGGGTACTGGGGATACAGCTGTAAGTCAGGGGCTGTTTTCCAGTCCTCTCAGATCTAGCTGGGCATAAGTCTGGTGGGTCAAGCGTGGCTCCTGAAGAGATGACACTTGAGAGACTGGCAGCATGTTCCAGGCAGGGCGGGTGCTGGCAGCACGTGGGTTGGCCAGAGGCTGCGTGTTCGGGCAGTGTTGCGTGGCTCCAGCTGGTTGTAACCGCGGTTCTCCTAGGGTGTGGCAGAAGCTGGACAGGCTGGCAGGGATCTGTCCTGAGGGTAGTTTAGACCACATCCTGCAAGTCACAGGAGCTGCAGAAGGTCTTCATCAGGGAGGAATACATCTGCCATTGTGAAGGGGTCTCTTTCCTTGCTGAATTCACAGGATGAGGACCTGGCGCCTTGGCAGGACCCTGCTGGTGGAAGTCCCTGGGGCTGTCTGAACCGCTGCAGGTTTCAGTGGTCCCAAAGTTGGGGAGGGCGGCGGGTGGTGGTTCCTTTTGTCAGCTGAGAGCCTCATGGGGCAGGAGCAGTGGAGTCAGTCGCATTGCAGTGAGTTAGAGTTGAGCTACGCTGTTCCCGTGACGGGGAGCCCTGGCAGGAGGCCTTCTGACTTCTGAAGATGGTTTGTGTTGGAAGACAGACTCTTCCCCTGTTTTCTGTTTCCCACTTCAGGTGAATGCCTGTTCCTTTGTAAACCACAGTGTCCGTGGGTAGCACTGTGGTTTTGGGTTCCTTTGTGACCACAGCGTCCGTGGGCTTGATGCAGTTTTGGAGTTCCTTTTGTGACCCACCGGTGTCCATGCAGGTAGCACTGTGGTTTTGGAGTTCCTCTGTGACCACGGTGTCCATGGGTGGCAGTGCGGTTTGGGTTCCTCTGTGACCACGGTGTCCATGGGTGGCAGTGCGGTTTTGGAGTTCCTCTGTGACCACGGTGTCCATGGGTGGCAGTGCGGTTTGGGTTCCTCTGTGACACCGGTGTCCATGGGTGGCACTGTGGTTTTGGAGTTCCTCTGTGACACAGTGTCACTTAGAACGGCACTGTGGTTTTGGAGTTCCTCTGTGACCACGGTGTCCGTGGGTAGCAGTGTGGTTTTGAGTTCCTCTGCTGACCCGGTGTCCGTGGGTGGCACTGTGGTTTTGGAGTTCCTCTGTGACCACGGTGTCTGTAGGTAACACACTGTGGTTTTTGGAGTTCCTCTGTGACCACGGTGTCCGTGGGTAGCAGTGTGGATTTTGGAGTTCCTTTGCAGCCCACCGGTGTCCGTGGTGGCACTGTGGTTTTGGAGTTCCTTTGTGACCCGGGTGTCTGTAGGTGTACTGTGGTTTTGGTGTCTGTGGGTGGCACTGTGGTTTTGGAGTTCCTCTGTGACCATGGTGTCCGTGGGTAGCAGTGTGGTTTTGGAGTTCCTTTGTGACCACGGTGTCCGTGGGTGGCACTGTGGTTTTGGAGACGCTCGTTTTGTTTGTTCATTTGAACATTTATTTGGAGACCTGCCATTTGCCAGGCTTTAGGCTGGCTCTGGCGATGCCGTGATGAACACAGCACAGCCTGCCCACGTAGTGCACACACAGACAGCTTTAAACAATGAAAACAGCAGGCGGGCCTCCTCAGGTGCGTCAGTTGGAAGATGCCCAGGAGCAGTTTGCAGGAGTATCTTAGTTGGAGACGGCCTTGTTGGATATGAATGACGCTGGTGGGAATGAAGGCCAGACGTTTTTCCTGGTTTGGAAACAGGTGGCTTACAAGAGCCTCTAGAGTTTATTTGTTTAAAGACAGACCCTGTTCTCAAGAGGGTCTTCACTTTGCTGGCAGGATGGCACTGCTGACGGTGGTGGTTGGCTCTAGAGAGCTGCTGTGTAGTTGACGAAGCCCGTTGATAATCAGTGTCTCATTTGTTCTTCCTCACAATCCTGTGGACTAAGCTGGGTTCTGGGAGGAGCTGACTGGCCCAAGGGCATCCAGTGAATTTGTGGCCCTGTTGCTGGAATGCTTGGCTGATCCTGGAGCATGGTGGGCTGTGCCCTCAATAACCTCCATCCATCTGGCTGGCCACATGGTGCCATGCAGCTGGATCCTGCATTTTTGTGAGCTGATCAGCCCGATGCTGGCACTGAAAGGATTCTGTTGGGAGCTGCCATCCATTTAGCCTGAGCAGAACTCAGCACATGTGCGGGCATGAAGCCCATCAGCTGACAGCTTCTCTTTCAGACCTGATGGCTCCCAGCCGAACTCTGGCAAGAAGGGCTTACCAGCCTGCAGGACGGCTGACCTGCCTGCCTTTGCTGGGAGCCAAGCACCTCCTGGCAGGTTCTGGGATTTGGTTTTCAGTGGGAGGAGGCGCTCTGCAAGGTAGAGTAAGAGCAGTAATTACTTGGGAGAGGAAGCGTTTAACTTCTAAGGCTGCAACACAATACTATCTCGTTCGCGGAGGCGGCTGAGTTAGAAGATTAGCAATTAATTTTTTATAAGGTGCAAACTACTCTTCAGTTTCATGGAACCAAACAGTCCTCCCACAGCAAGGGAGGGGCAGGCTTCCACCCCGTGTGATTTTTCGGAGCACTATTGTTTGTCTGCTTTTGAGCTGATAGGAATTATTTACGAGTCTGTGTGGAAGACATTTTGACACACAATTCTTGGTATTCCCATTTGCTCTTTCTAGTTTTTACTTTTTCTGTATTGCTAGCGTTTACTGCAGTTAGGTCTCAGGAGTATTTTGCCTTTTATTAGGATTGCAGTTACAAAATGCAGGTATCAACTAGGTTCCTTTAAATCACAGTTCACTTTTTATTGACTCGGATGAGAAAAGTACATGTTTTTCGTAGACTGAGTTGAAAAGAGCGTCATTGGTAGCATTACAAGCATTTCTTTTAGCTTCTGTGTTTTTATTGTTTACTAGAGCTTAGCTGGAGTGTCGTAGATAACCCAGTAGGGGTCACTGCTAAGTTATCTGTAAGTTTTCTAAGTTTGAGCTTTAGATTGAAACACTTTTTTTTTCTTTTTTTTGAGACAGAGTCTTGCTCTGTGGCCCAGGCTGGAGTGCAGTGGTGCGATCTCTGCTTGCTGCAACCTCAGCTTGCTGCAACCTCTGCCTCCCAGGTTCAAGCGATTCTCCTGCCTCAGCCTCCCGAGTAGCTAGGACTACAGGCACCCACCACCACACCTGGCTAATTTTTGTATTATTATATATTTTTTTAGTAGAGATGGGGTTTTGGCATGTTGGCCAGGATGGTCTTGAGCTCCTAATCTCAGGTGATCTGCCTTCCTCGGCCTCCCAAAGTGCTGGGATTATCGGTGTGAGCCACTGCACCCAGCCCAGACTTTTAATAATAGAAAATGTACTTTCTCTTGTTTCATTATTTAGTACTCTAGGTTTTCTTTGAGTTTTTGTAACTAAACAGTGGGCACCTGTGATAGGTTGGGATGGATTTAGGGCAGAGTCTGGTAAGCTTTTTCCCTAAAGGGCCAGGTATTAATAGTAAATATTTACTTGGTAGCTTTGGGGTCCATAAGGCCTCTGTTACAATTACTTGGCTCTGCCTTTGTAGCCCAGAATAGGGTGACACGCCCTCACGGTGTTTGCCTGGGACTGAGGAGTTTCGCGTGGGATGTGGGCCTTTCATGCTGAGACTGCGATGACCTGGGATGAACCGGGACTGTCGTTGATTTTAACATAAAAGCTGCTGTCGACAGTGCGTCAATGAGTGGATGTATCTGTGTTCCAGTAAAACTTTATTTGCAAGACAGCTGGGGTGGGAGTAGGTTTGGCCATACCTGCTAACTCCTACAAGAGGTTACAGGGCTGCCATTTAATTTTGGTTTAACCATGCAGAGGCTGGGCATAGTGGCTCACACCTGTAATCCCAGCACTTTGGGAGGCTGAGGTAGGCGGATTCTTGACCTCAGGAGTTCAGGACCAGCCTGGGCAACATAGTGAGATCTCGTCTCTACAAAAAATTACAAAAAATTAGTCAGGCATGGTGGCATGCACCCATGCTCCCAACAACTTGAGAGACCAAATCAGGAGGATCACTTGAGCCCGGAAGGCCAAGGCTGCAGTGAGCCGAGATCATGCCACTGCACTCCAGCCTGGGTGATAGAGCAAGAACCTGTCTCAAAAAGAAAAAAAAAAACCCCAAAAACCCAAAACTAATCCATGCAGAGCCTTGCTGCCTGTTCTCTGCGGCTTTTCTTTTCCGTGCAGAGCCTTTTGCTGCCCACA